GTAATTGGACGAAATCCAGTCTAATTATTCAACCAATCAGCATTCAGATTGTCGTCACTGTCCTTGAACGACATTGGTCATTATTCACACAGTAATTTTCACAGGTGCTGATTCGAAAAAAATGACTCTCCCTTCCGATCGATTACAGCTGCTCTTTGAACGACATTTGGAGTTATTAGTCAAATTCCGCACGCAGCTGCTAAATCAGTCACGCTATGAAGATGCGACGGAAGTGGACGGATTGATATCTGAGTTTCACAGTGAGCTGGAAAATGACAGCCTCCATGAATCCCCGATGAACTGTACTTCAAACGAAACAGTCGTCCATGATGCGCCCGGTGGTCCAGTACTTTCTATTCCAGAAACATGCCCGGTAATGGAGTCAAACTCCATCATCCCCGAAACAGCATGTACAGACAGTAGCATATCCAGCTCACGAAAAGATCCTCTTGTTTTGCCAGAGAATGTGTCCCATACATCAAACAAAGGTCAGAAATCTAATACAATTTTGATAGATGCTGTTTATTTTGGTAACGTATTATCCACTAATGGAATTTCGAAGAGATCTGATGGGAATGTTTCACAAGAATCAAACTCTAATGACCTCATATCTACTGTCGCTGATCCTCAGCATCTAGTCAGCTCTAGTGGACTCTCTACTCAATGCGGGAAATATGCTTTAAATAGAGTCACACTAACTGTTACTTGGGTATACGAGGACCCAACATTATTCCGCGGGGGAGGATAGACGCGAAGAAAATTCAAAATCCGGATATCAACTCCGGATCTCCAAAAAAGGGGAGGTGTTGGGATATTCAGGAAAATATCCCAGAAATTATCCTATTTAGCCTAATGCTATTCTTGGACTTGAACATGGTGTTATTTTCTTATTGGTCAGTACTTATTTCACGTGTCATTTTCCTACTGGCCAATATTGTACAATGTTATTTTCTATTTTATGGTATGATGTGGTTTGTTTGATTGGTATATAAACAGAGTATGTTTGAAATATAATGATTCATACATCCGAGGCTGTGACTTGCGTTCTGGACTCAACTGCTGGGCTAGATAGGGAAGCGGGACCAATCAGAACCCTAGGTCGTTCTACGTGTCTGTGCGTCTTGGTCCGATCGATAAATCGCTACCCTTTAATCTGCTGCTACTGTCTCACAGTTATAACACAAACCAACGATGAACTCAAATAGACCATATTGCCATCAGTCATCGTTGGAGAGGGTCGGTAGAAGATTGTCGCTCATTCTGGAGTACCTGCTTGAACTCCGACCACGCCCTAATACGGGCACGCATCTGCTTGCGCCTCACTGGACGCAAAAAAGCCACATTAAAAAGACCCATTAGAACTGAGTTGAGTAACTAAAAATAAGTTCCAAGAACAACTGAGTTCACACCTAGGTAATTCTGAAGACGAGGCTGACCCAGATGTTGCTTGGAAAGACATACAAGCAGCTGTGGAAGCAGCAGTGACATCTATTAGCAACTTAAACCACAGAGTTTCAAAGGACCAGTGGATTTCTTCAAAGTCTATCACACTGATGGATTCTCGCAAACTCGTCCCATCAAGTTCCGAACATGATGAAGAGCGACAACAAATCAGATCTAGGTTAAGAAAAAGTCTAAGAAAAGACCGTGAGCAGTGGTGGGGAACGAAAGCAAAAGAGATGGAAAAGGCAGCGACTATAGGGAACACAAGACAGCTTTACAGACTAATAAAAGAAACTGGAATTAATAAGTCAAGTGTAAGTCAGACTATTTCGGAAAAAGACGATACTCTCATCTGCTCCCAGTCCAGGCGTTTAGAACGATGTGCGGAACATTTCAGAGAACAGTTCAGCTGGCCTTCAGCTACTCTACAACTACCCTCCATTCCCAGACAGCGTGAATGGAACATTGAAGTAGGTCCCCCAACTCTTGCTGAAGTTCAAAAGGCTATAGATAATCTGAAACGAGGAAGGGCAGCTGGTCCAGATGGATTGGCTCCAGAAGTCTTTAAGGATGGTGGTCCAATTTTAGCGGTTAGGTTGACTAATATTTTAGCTAAGATCTGGGGATTAGATGTTATTCCATCCGACTGGTCGCCATCACTTATCGTCCGAATATATAAGAAAGGATCAAAATCATCTTGTGACAACCACAGAGGGATTAGTTTAACAAATATAGTATATAAAATACTAGCCTCAATAATAATAAGATACCCAACTAAAAACCGTGAACTGCAAACACGAGAAAACCAAGCTGGCTTCAGACCTGGTCATGGCTGCACCGACCATATATTCACCATTCGTCAGGTTCTAGAACATAGGCATACTTACCGACGTCCGACAAGGGTGGTCTTTCTTGACTTAAAAGCAGCATTTGACTCGGTAGACCGCGAGATTCTGTGGCAATGTCTGTCACTTAAAGACGTACCCCGGATGTACATAAACCTTGTGAAGGCTCTTTACTCGAACACTACTAGTCGAGTGAGAGCTTATGGCGAACTGTCATCTAATTTTGCAACCTCAAGTAGTGTCCATCAAGGCTGTCCACTTTCTCCATTTCTGCCTAACTTCATCATAGACCTACTGATGGAAATAACATTCTCATCGACTGAATTCTTGGGTATTGATCTCCTTCAAGGAGGTCCATTTATCGACTTAGAATACGCAGATGATATAGTCCTGTTTGGTGAAGACGCTGATAAAATGCAGTCTTTTGGTAGCACTAAGCAACAATGCCAGAATGTTTGGAATGCGCTCCTCTCCCTCTAAATGCAAGTTGTTGCTTCAGGACTGGTCTGCGTCAACACCTGAACTAAGGGTAGGGAGTGAAGTAATCGAACGCGTTGACAACTTCACTTATCTTGGAAGTCTGATCAGATCAAATGGGTTGGTATCGGACGAAATCTCAGCACGGATGTGAAAAGCTCTTTTGGCTTTTGCCAACTTACGTCACCTTTGGCGAAGGCGAGATATCCGTCTATCAATAAAAGGACGAGTATACTGCGCGGCAGTTCGTTCTGTCTTACTTTACGGCAACGAAACATGGCCATTAAGAGTAGAAGATACTCGTAAGCTACTAGTATTTGACCACAGATACCTTAGAAATATTGCTCACATCTGATGGGATCACCGGGTAAGTAATAGTGAGGTTAGACGTAGGGCATTAAGGAATGATGGTAAATCAGTTGGTGAGGTTGTGAATCTTCACCAACTGAGATGGTTGGGCCACGTGTTACGTATGCCTGAACACCGACTGCCAAGATGCGCAATGCTAACTGACTAGTGTTGGATATGATTGGAAGAAAGTTAGAGGTGGACAAACCAAAACGTGGCATCAATGCTTGAAGTCACTAACCTCTGGTCTGAGCCATGTTGGTAGATGCAGACTACTTGGTTGGGGTCCGCGTGACTTTCGTAACCAATGGTTGGAGACTCTTGGTGACATGGCTCAGAATCGATCACAATGGCGTAGGTGTATACACTCCCTGTCTTCCCTTAAACCAAGAGATTAAAATCGCTCCATACCTTTCTTTCGACGAACTAATTCTGTATTCCGGTACTGTATCGTTTTATGCAATCTTTCTCCTATATATTACCGCCTTTAACCTAACCACTCCTATGAATCCGGTGTTCATCTTGCTGTGCTAATGAGGTATGGCAACCTGGACCGATGCATATATGTGCCTGGTCCTACGTTGTAACTAACTGACTGACTGACTGAAGGAACAATTAGTGTATGAACCAATTGTTGATCATCGGCTACTATGGAATTACATCTCCTTACATTACTTCACTACCTTGTGGATTAGACCTTTAAGTCAAAGGTTCCAGGTCTAGCCCACTAAGAAGTCTACATATTTCGGTTGAGGCATCCGGACAGTATATGTATTCGGTGCTCCTCTGTATCAATATTTATGCGTTCAAATAAATAAATAAAAAGAAAACAGAAAAATGTCTACAAAAATTCATTATCATTCTTTTGATGAAACAATTAAGAAATTCATGGTAGTGACAATAATAATAATAATGATTATTATTATCACTGGTAGCAACAACAACAACAATGATTACGTAATCAACATTTAATTATTGTAAAAGTACAAAAGAAAGAAAAATTCACCTAAAAAAAATTGGATAATACCTATTTATATTAATATAAAATTACTAATAATTGGTTGCTGGCTTGTTTTTCTTTTCTTTTTGGTTCATAAATTGATATAAAGTGCTTCAAGAGAACAAAGTTCACAATAAATCAATAATTGAAAAAATTACCTAAAATACATATAAATATACACATATAGATATATAGATAGATAGAAACAGATAGGACAAAAACAAACAGAGAGAGGGGGAACTTATACCTAAATAATATATATATATATATATATATATATATATATATATATATATATATATATATATACTCAATATAAAGTTCAATATTATTACTATTAAGTAATAGTGGTATTACGTAATAGTAATATGCGATGGTGAAATATTCTAGAAAATAATTGATAATCAAAGAATAAGATTGTACACATTTTTCAGCCGAACAATATAATCCCATAAATAAACTATAGCCATAGTAACAATGAGTAAGAGAGAAAGACAAACTGATAGATAGACAGACATACAGGCAGGTGTACTTGGAATTAAGGATTGATTCAAAGAGGGAAGAAGAAGAAGAAGAAAAAGAGGAAATGTGTAGTAACTCGTGTTACACAAGGAGATAAAACAAAATCGAATGAGAAAAAAATGCAATAAACTTTCATATAAAACTTACTCTATTTGTGTGTGTATGTGTAGTTGTTGTTGTTATGTGTTTATGTTCGTGGAACCAGCTTTCTCTTCTTATTTATTAATAAGTTTAATAACAAGAGAATAACACTAGTAAAAGTCATAATTATAATTATAATAATACCTAACATGGTTACAAATAAGAAATAAATATAACTATTTAACATATAAAACACGTATTCACACATTGAGAAGGATAAGAAGAAAAAAAACAAAAAGCATTACACAAAAACTATTTATTAATTCATTGTATCAAAACAAAAAATCTTATTAGCAAAAAAAAAGGGAGGGAAAAAAAGGGGGAAGAAGGAGAGCAGAGCAAAACAATAACAACAAGAATATAATCAAAAGAAGAATGTGGACATGTTAGTGATCATGATGGGAAAATATTAGAGAATGATAAAGCTGCCCACATATGATATATATATATATATATATATGCCATTATATCTAGTATTGGTAATACGAATGTACAAATAGAAATATAGAATAACCTAAACCTACCTGAGGTTTACAAATGTTAACATAATAAAATTAATATAATGAATTGAGAAAACACCTAAATATGGTAATGTGTATTATGGAGAATTAGAAGTGTGCATTTTGATAAATTGCAAATATCTTCTCGAAATCCTAACAAATTCATCAATAATCAAGAAAAAGAAAAGGGAAAAAGATAATAGAAATAAAACAATTACAACATGTATTAAAATAAACTATACAAGTATATGTATACATATATATACTCACTAGTGGCTGGCTTCAAAAGGTATATCCTGAAATTCTAGTGAGAAACCATGACCAATGGAGTTCAACCGGATCTGTTGTGAGATAGTAACTCACTGAAGATAATGGTGGATGTATTGGCTCAATAGTCTAGAAACTAAGAGTTCGAGCGTGAAACCAATGGGTCCTGGGTTTGAATTTCGAGAGGTGGGATCGTGAATGCACACTGCTGAGGAGTCCCATAATAGGACGAAACAGCCGTTTAGTGCTTCCACGTTTGAAATGGTTGTGTAGCTTCAATCTCAACTCTTAAAAATAATTATAATAGTTGAACTCATGAATCGATTAAAACTAGACAACGTAGAGGCACTGGACGGTACTGAAGATAAGGGTGAATGCCGGTTCAGTGGTCTGGAGGTTAAGCGTTCGAGAGCGAAACCAGATGTTCTCAATTCAAGTCCTATGTGCAGAATCATGGGTGCGTACTGCTAAGGAGTCCTATGCTAGGATGAAACAGCCGTTCAGTGCTTTCAGGTTTTCAATGGTGGGCTAGCTTAAATCGACTTATGAATTCAACTATTAATATATAAAAAACTGTTGGGGTTATCCGTCACATTTCTTAATCCTTAATAAGTAGGTAGTAGCAGAAATCCTTTTTCCATACATCGGAAATTTCATTTTTAAACATCTTCATACATCAGTGTAGTGTATATCAGTAAACTGGTTAATAAGGCTTTAGAAACGAGCAGAAGAATCAACAAGCATACAGTGTTGAGCAACCATTGAACATTGAGAAAAACATGTGAATAACATCAGCCGAGAAAAACAAAAACCAAACCAAATTCTGATACTTTTGGATGACTGTTTCATATTTAATAGATTATCTCTAGATGTGAAACCTAAAATATACGCTACGTCATGTAATCTGGACTCTATATCAACCAAATACACATTCCCATCACAGCATTTATATTGACAACTGAACCGCCACCTATCTGGCAGTACCTTGTATGGTCAAGGGTGGTGTGAATCATCTATTCCTCTCGAGATGCTCTAACATGACCACGCGTACACAGCCGATGCCAATGAGGGTCCGGGCCGCATCCGACTCCTTACATAAATCGAATGACGAAGTGTTGCGCAAATATATTTGTTGTTTAAATAAAAAAATAATAAACTATCTAGCAATATTTAACGTTCCACATACGCTAACAGTCGAATATAATTCTAAACGTGTGATTAGTAGGATTAGGAGATTTGCACATGAAACACAAACTGATTCATTATAGTTTATGACAGAAAAAATGTGGAGATATCATACTGATTAACAAACACACTAGGTTGAATCTAGGACACTGAAGTTTCGCAGCACCGGTATCTAATGATGTATAATTATCACAAAATGCAAATTAAATAATGGATCCAAAGTAGGATGATAATTGTAATAATTGGTTTAAATAAACACTCTGGATGATACGGGTAAAATGAGAAATATATTCTTTCATTATCTCCCTCACTCTCTTCTACAAGACGAGATTCTTCATGTGTTATTTTTTAGACAGTTATATATGTTATACTATTGATTTAACTATTTTTATATACGTGTTGTTAATTTCACCATGCTCTGCTAATGCATGGCATGACAACTTGTACAGATGAACACGTATGATGGATACCAAGTTGGTTGTAATTGACTAGAATTATTACCCAATGATTTTAGCAAGTTTTTCATTCAAAAATTAATTTGACACTACCATGGGTGAGTTACTTAAAGATACCTGTAATCGAAGCTTTGTTTCATGCATCTCCTTGAGTTAGGTTCGAGTTCCGAAAAGTCCATCAATTCCCTCGAGACATAAAGTGCTCTGTGCTGATGAATACCAACTACTATGAAATCGATGTCTACCACAGTTTCCTGTGACCTACTTTTAATCATTTAATACACTACTAAAGTGCCGATGAATCAAATTTAGTGAGATTTCAAAAAGCTAATCACTACCAGATGAGATTTTAAGCACGCCATACAAAGATTTTTGTTTTAAAAAGTAAACTTACATCTGACAATGACATTCTATCAGTAACATGTGCATATTTACAAAATATTAAATTAGAAAAATCTGTATGTAAATTGATCAGTTGTAATGTTGGCCAACCATCAGTTTGTAGAACAATTTCATTAAGGAAATGATTTAACTTTTTCAGATCCACTTGGATTGGTGTATAAGTACTTGTAGGAGTAGGATTAGTAGTAGTAGTATTAGTATTGGCAGTAATATTAAGAGTAGGTGATGGTGTTCGATTAAATGATTGATCATCATGAGATTTTGGACTGGATCGTGGTCGATTATATGAATCTTCAGAAAGTGGTGATTTAAATAAATTTGACGCTGTAAAAAATAATTATAATCAACAAATAAACCGATAAATTTATTAACCAAGGATAAAAAACAATCTTGGAGAAATCCAGTTGTTCAAATTGTCACGATAGTATAATATATAATACTTGTATCAATTGGGATAGGTAATCAATCAGATGTTTCTCCAGCTCCGACTATGACTTATGCTACGATATGACCAGCAAATAATCTTATTGGTTAATTTACTGGTTCAGTGGACCAATCAGCATAAAGTGTTTAATCGGTTCTCCAATATGATTGGTTAATAACATATATGTATACGAAAAGTTGTGGTTTTATTGTACATAGTTATAATTTATAATTATAATTCAGTTTTTATCTGATGATATTCTAAGAGTATGATAAGGTATAGAGTTTACTAAAAGTGATTTAATTGTATTTTGTATTGGTTCACCTGTTATCCATGAAAACAAAATGGTGTTAATGTCTAACCTCAACCAGTCCACGAAGTTGCGCGACTATCTATCATTGTACTAAGGTAGACACCTTTTTCTAGCCGACACGGGTTAGCTGCCCTGTTCACGGCTTCTCATCAGAGACTGGAGGCCTTGGGTTCGAATCCCGCGAGCGGGATCGTGAATAGGCACTGCCAATGGGGAGTACCACAATAGGACGAAACGCGCGTCCAGTGCTTCCAGGTTTTCAATGATGGTCTAACATCAATCGGTTCATGATCTCAATAAAAAATCTAACAATCTCCACAATCCATAAACTGAAAACAAAATGGAGTTACCCATTTTTATAACAATAGAATTATTGTAATTAACATGCATGTTTTAGACTAATTTGAAATGATTAGTGATAAGTCTTCTAAGTGAACGTTACATTCGGTTCTCAAGCTCTTCTAGTAACCACTAGACTAGATCTACACAACAACTTAAACACAGGAGAAAAGATGCGAGATATGGAAGAAACGCTTTATATCCCAAAGGTTCGCTTATGTGCGAAAAATATAGTTTGCATGGTATTTTAGTTGGCCTTGGGTTTTCGAAAAAGTCTAGAATGCTACTAAACATAATATAAGTAATTATCCGATCAAAAACTCGACATGTGACTTCTAGTGAATACTTATTGTATAAGATGCTTCTGTGTTTTCAGAGCCTTTCTTGGCTTTTTTTTCGAGGAGATTTCTAGATCTTCCCAACAATCAGTAACCATAAATTTCAACTATAAGTACTGACGTAATATTAAAGAAGGTTTGAAAATTATTGTGCTAACAAATACTGCTACTGACTCTTTTATTCAGAGTCACGTCTTGATAACGTCATAAGTCATTGTATGACATGATCATATCTAGGACCTCAAGTGAAAAGTAGTGATGGATCAACACACAAATACCTGTCCTATATAACCAGTATTCACATTAAGGTAGTATGATATGAAATGATAACATCAGCGCTTTTCTCAAAGAAGTTCGACTGTCAATACTATCAAAAATACAATATACATTTACAGCATGAAAGCCCTAATACATGAACATCCACCTGGTTACAATTGAGCTGATCTATTCTGTAACCAGTGATTAATAATAATAATAATAATAATAATAATAATAATAATAATAATAATAATAATAATAATAATAACTGAGTAAAACATACACTGTTCATTAGACATCAATTGAGAAGGTTCAGATTCATTTTCTTCAAATGATTTTATCAAAGTAGGCTGTTTAATTTAATAAGAAAAGAGAAAACTACGATATATGAATGAATAAAAATGTCATACACATACACAAACGTCCAAAAAGAGGTTTATAGTTAATAGTGAGAAATTAATCCACTAAGAAGAGATATATGTTGAATAGTAGCGGAATTCATAATGCGCATCTTTTTCCCATGTATAAGACTCGTCTGTTAGATTTACGGTACACATTAGGCTAAGGAGTATAAATAACCATGAATTTGTTCGATGGGTATGATATTTACATCCTGTTGTTGATATATTCAGGAATGAATTTTCTATCAGTCATTGTTTTTAATAATACATTAAATGTGAAGACGAGTGTTACTCTCTAATTTTCTGAACCATGGAGTGATTATTTGTATTCTCAACAGTGATGACATACTAGAACTACAACACTCGTTCCTAAGGGTCTTATGATACCAAGTGCGTAGGTTGGAGGATGGTAAGAATAAAAGAATCAATCCAAAGGTTTAAGGGTGTGACAGAAGTAAGATGTTCCCCTAAAATAACGAGCATCTTAAATGATGATGCTTTCTCATAACAGAAGGAGAAAGTGAGTCCTTCTCGATCTTTTACCGCAATACATTTTATTCCTGACTATCATGGTGTACTACTTATGTGGATATAAGCAGCTCACATCACGCTACTATTCGAGTTAGTTAACATGAACACCTCCACAAATCCTTTATTTCATTGTTAGAAAGATTCCTTGAATTGTTTTAAACCATGGAAAAATACATAAAAAAGAATAACTCACAATTTATTTGTTAACTTACTCCAGGAGAAGACCATGTATCAATATCACAGTCTAATTCACTTGATTGTAACTTTGATGGACTTTTTAAGGAAGAATTAGATGAAGTCGTACGGCGACGCCTGTTTGATGTCTGTAATTGAAGAATGTCACTGAGTTCTAGAATAGGTGATTCACCCTGAATGTAAAGGGGATAAACAAAAGTTTATCTAAATCTAATTTTTGCAGAAGCTCATCACTGACTGCATGATGATCTTATAGAAATCACTAAGTAGCCTAAAGTTGACGGTTAACGGCGAAGACTGTGTCGTTCATCAGACCTATGAGATTGGAGTGTTTTCTGTATACCGTATCAGTGTGACTGATTATTTTGCGTACCTAGGTATATGGTTCAATTATCATGGTATTATACAAAAACCTATAATTACGATGACTGTGTTAAGGAAGATCATGGACTCTCCATTATCAACAATTCAACGAACAGCGGTACTAAAGCAGTATGTCATACCGAAACTTCAGTATGTGGGCCAGATCGGCTTGGTATGTAAAACAGAGATTGGAAAGTAAGCGAGTACGACAACGGCTGCGACCACCATACGACACGGTTGTTAGTTATTTTTATGCTCGTGCGAGCGATGGTGGAATTGGTATTGAGTTCATTTATATACAATCATTCCAATCCGACGGTTTCAACGATTCATCTCGCTAAATTAACGAAGTTGCTCTTGGCGGATTGGTGGTGTCCAGTTCGGATGGCATGTATAGTGCGTGGAAAACACAACTGTATGACACTCAAGATGGTAGTGGCCTTGGAGGCCCAAGCCAGAGCACATCATCGCATTTATGGGTTGTGTCCAACGGTTGCGTATCGCCAGGCATAACAGAGTAATGTCAGGATTATAGGGTAATTTTCTCATGAATAACTAATATATCCATCAATAATGTAAGGACCAACAAAAGGCAAGAGACGATCAAAAAACTTGCATACAACAGTTCCCTAAAGATCCTAAATAAGCCAATTTATAAATCATTACGTTCCCCATTTTTTATCCCATTAGGATCACTATCTTCACACTTACATGCAACCTCCGACTATAACGATAACCTTGTGGAAGAGGTAATGATGGCTTCACACCAGTCCCTTGAGATGTTTGATCCGTACCCTTGAAGCATTGATGCTCTGATCCTTTGAGTTTTGAATGACGCATCGAGGTCGGAGTTTTAGTTAGTTGAGCATGAGACAAACGTGCTGCACGTGCTTGAGTTGCCTACAATCAATTGCAATTTAAACGCATACATTAAATTCAGCACACATACACACATGTAAACAACAACTTTAAAGAAAAGTACACATAGTTGTCAACCTATAAAGAGACAAATTGAAGAGAACGTTCTTAGTGTGCTTCAGTAAAAATCTATGTAACTTATACAATGCTACTAACATCTCAACACACCACACGAGTCATTCAGTTTGGTAGCTACATTGAAAATTCACTGACAGAATCCTATCAGCACTGAAGATACGAAATAAACATGACAATGCTCCGTAATTAATCAAGTGTAAACAACTCAACCCTTCCGCAGAGTAGTCAACAATCAAACAATTCAGTAGTAAAACCTTATCAAAATGTGAAGCCGGATGACGTGTTCAAATCTTAAAGCGGACGCTAAACCCACCTCAAGTGCTCCTGTATTTCTCATGAATGTTTGAGCAGGACTTCCTGTCGACTAACCCTAACTATCTAATCCACTGAAAACTACCAATAAAAAAACTATATTTTACTGGTATATCATTTAAGATTTTTAATGATTAGTAAATGATTGTAATGTAGTGTGCATATGTAGTACAGACAGAAGCAATAACAATTGTGATATACATACCTCTTCACATAATTCATTCAAATCAACAGGTTGTAATTCTTCTTCCATGCGTAAACATGCTTCATCCCAAAATTCAGATGCTCTAGAACGAATATCTCGACTTCGTGGTATATTCGGTGGATTATATTCCAATGCATTCAGATAAACTAATTCTACATCCTTGTAAAAGTATGCAGGCAAAAATAAAAGCGAAGCAAAAAAACAAACCAAACTGCAATTTAATAACTTTTTATTATAAGCCATAGTGTAAGAATAATCTGCTGAATGACACGTTATTGAGTTTGTACTTTTAAACAACATGTTTAGGTTTCAAAATGGTAAGAAAGATGGTAGAATAAACGCAACAAATACATCGAAAGTCATTTGACATGGATCTAAATTATTATAGAGTACACTACTGTACTCTGAAATAGTCAGAAATGTTATGGTGGGGGAGAATAAATGAAAATGTGAAACTTCGGAGATCATCCTCTGTGTGAGTAAACGCTTTTTTCAGGTTGTGCAGAAACTATGTTAGCGAACTCATTGAAGCGGTATCCTCCAAAGAGTGTGTGTATAAAAGTAAGTGAACATTAACTTTCCTTTTTGTTCTCTAAATGTATGTACTTCAGCACCCAAACATAAATTGGTATACACAACTGGAGGTAACATAAGGTGAGTACTTATCCACATTTTAAGGTCTTAACGATCATCCTGTTTGATATATTGAGGCTAGTTTTGCTGCTGGATAAGTTTTTTCTCAATGAAGCTCTTAGTCTATACTCAACCTTTGCAGATACTTCAGTACACTTTAGAACAAGTCGAGTGAAATCAGGTTTTTTCTTCACTGCGGTACAATCCGTTACTATCATTATTATCTTCTCATATTTATTGATTAACTTCCTCGTAAAACCATTAACCTTTAGACACTTTTCAACAGTGATTAATTCCACGTCAATCTTGTCATCTAAGCATGATTTCTATACTCGAATGAATAGATTTTTAAGTAGATCTCATTAGGTTCCAGTTATGATAATGACGTTATGGAAGGTTTATTTTTTATTGATATAGTCTCGATAGTATTCATTACTTCAAATAGAAAAAGCAACCCTATTTTACTACATTCTGAAATACTCAATAAAGTGATAAGAAACCTAAATGTACAGAATCAATAGTTTTGTTGTGAAAAATATGCTTCAAGACGAAAAATTGAAGTGAAGAGGTGTTAACATGTTTTTAATAACTAATTGGTGTTGTTCATCCAATCACGTGAACATTCATAGATGCTCTAAACAAGGAACGTTTTAAAGGACTTAAAAATTAAACAGACTGATGTACGCATCCATTGACAGCAGAAAAAAAAAGTATCAAGAGGTAGCAGGACAAGTTAAAGTGAGTGATAAAGATCAGGGAACGAGATCGATATTGCCTTTATTAGTATTCGTTATTATTGATGCACGACGCACACTTTTCAGTGTTTAACGTTGGGGTAAATCATCTTAGTTGGGTATGGTAGTTATCATATAAATCATGAACCGATCTAATTTGAACAACCATTGAGAACCTAGAAGCACTAAATAACCGTTTTGACCCCGTATAGAACTCCTCAGTAGTGCGTACCCACGACTTAGCAACTAGGAATTGAACGCAAGCCCTCCGATGATATGAAAGAACGTTTGATCTCTAGACAAGTAAACTGGTATTCGACGAGATAAAAGTCTAGCCTCAAATGATCTCTGATAGATATACTGTTAAATCTGTTTTACATTCTCCGTCCTTATTTACTTCCCTTCAAAACTTTCGTGTAGTTTCATACTACTTATTAATATTCAGTAAATAGTTGTATTCCTAGCAATTTCTACGTGTATGAACAATTTTTGCTTATTGATTAACCGTTATCAAACAGACACAGCTAACGACTGTCATTTATACTATCCAAGTACCTTTTTATTTCAGACAAAAAGACGCGGAGAACGTCACAGACAACTCACAAGTTGAGGTACATAAACAACCGCTTTTTCAGACAAATAGTACTTCTGTGAAATTCGATTTCGTGCGTCTCACAATTGGGACGCTTCGATAGCATTCAACACGTACTATAAATAAAAATTTTAAACTTTTGGAAAATAAAACAAAAAAACACTCAGAATTACCTTCATGAAATCAGTTACATTAGTATATTGATGTGAATCAATTTTATCACGTATAAGACCTAAATCCATTGGTTGTTTAATAACATCATAATAATCCGGTGCTTCATCTAATTGAACTGGTCTAGTGAATACGGTGAAACGACGAAAACTTGCTAAATGTGCAACAACTCTACGTAGAATTTGTCGAAGACGACGAAATAATTGCATTTCCCTAGATTCAATAATAGCTAATTCTCCAGGGGAAAGATTTACTGGATAACGATCTTTTTTATACTTTGCTGAAACATCATCATCATCTTTTTCAACTGCTGGTTGTGGACTAGGTCTGTAAAAAACAGAAAAAAAGAGAAGTGAGGAAAGAAAAATGAGTTAATGTATCGATGGGTGAATAAATATTTATAATATTGAGAGATCGTATTCGACATAGTTTAAGCAAAATATTAAACTCCAGAGTTTTTATCGGCTCTCGGTAGGTGAATTGGGTTGATTGTTGGTGGCTGTTCAAATATCAACAACGGTGTGAAAAGTGTCCCAGGCTTTTACTAATGGAAGCATTTGCTTATATATGTTAGATTCTCACTTCCATTCCGCCTGAGTCAGGTTTGAACGACTAAGTAGCATCTCGAGCCTTACACACAGTAGTGGTTGGGAGTTAAGTACACAAATTTGTACTTGGTAAGTGAGTTGATATCAAAAAATTACATAACTCTATAACTATTAAAACTAGACATCTAAACGTTAAATACACGTGTATAGGATCAAACCGTCAGATAAACAATTCTGGAGTCAACAAGTCATTTGACAAAGCTGTGAATATTCATCAAATACGTTTACTGAGATTTTATGCTTAACTAGGCATTATTGACTGATAGGCTCTGCGAGTCTATGCATACCGTGTACCTAAGTAGAAACCAAAGGGCTGAGTGCCACCTCAAGATTAAACGATGGCTCAAAAACTACAAACGAATCACGCTATTGGTGGAAGTAGAATACGTACTTAGTCATGAACTTAGTGCAGTATATAAATGTACAATCTGTGTTTTTCATAATAAGACTTGTTAATTAATTCTGTTGAGATACAGACTAGTGTAGTGGACGTATGCTGACAAGGATGTATGTGAGTAGTATGTAGCAGAACGCGGTGTCGAAGTTGCAACAACTGTTGGACAGAGTGAAAAGTTTCAGTGCACCGAAAGCACAGCCTAGGCAGATCACTTAAAGGCCAGTGGAGAACACAGTTCAGATTACAAAACACACCGGAAAATGCAAATGGACGATTGAAGGCTAGGTATATGTATTATTTAAATATTTTGTGACTTCTCGCAATAAATACATATCTCCTGTATATTGTCATGTTTTACACTAGGACCAAACAGATGTCTATTATTTACTTATTTATTTATATGAACACCTAAACTAAGGGAGATCAAAATAAATACGCGCACTACAAAATTTGTGTGAGATCTAGGATACTCCCCGGATGACTAAATAAAAACAAGGAGCTACTCCCCGAGCCGCTGATAGGGTAATCTAATCCACAAGGCAATGCACCGACGTCATGAAATGGAGTTCCATGGTGACTAACAATATCTTCATGCGCCATTTCTTCCCTCATGATCCTGAAATCCATGTAAACCATTGGTATTCCAACTCTCCTAAGTGGACCCACCGTACCCACCAACCCGGTTTAATGGCCAGGAATTCGTTTTCCGTGATGATGATGATGATAATAATAATAATACTGGACGGTCAAACTCAGTATTCTTCTAATGATTAAATGCATATTTCACTCATTCTATGAAGTACACCTACTACCTACCTAGTACTTATGTAATGAATGAGAACTCAGTTGAGGAAAACCAACTTATTGTTTAATGCAAAATTACGGTATCTTCATAAAATATGAAAGCTACATTAGATACATTATTTGCAAGTCTTCCTTCAGTGGTTTTTAACGTGATTCATCATTCATTCATTTCTGTTGTTACTGCAATAGATCTGTTTTCCTTTCTATTCTCTTCGATTCAATCTTCTCAATGTTCTGCTGCAAGGCATTCCACTTCCAATTAGCGTTACATACTACCTATATGCACTACACTAGTCCCCCCTTTTAAACGATCACTTCTTCAGTTGTTCTGCTCGCAGTGCCACGCTACCCGTCGGTATGTCGATTCGACCGGTGCAATAACCTCCATAGCTCTATAGACCTGCCGATCATCTTACTCCGATGTCCACCTGGCACTCATCAAGATGTCCTGCCGTCGGCAGCGACTGCTACACATAACGTCGCTTCGACCGAACACTTCACTCAACATATCCTTGTTGCATTAGACACCACACCAACTCCATTCCCGGCTCCGTAAAGGTGTATGCAAAACTTTATCTCAGTTCTCATTAAACATGAATTCAGATAACATATCCAATTATTCAAAAATTTCGGGAAAATTTCATATTACTTTACAACAAATAAACACAAAACAGGATATTAATATGAACTTACATTTGTGTATTAGATAATTGTTGAATAATTGATTTATTATCACGTATATCTAATAATTCCATTGATGTTAATTGAGGCCATTTAATAATAACTGATGTAAAAAATGCTAATCTTTCCTCTTTATTAGGTAATTCTAAATGCATAAATTCTGTATGATTACTATTGAATATTTTATGTAATATATGATTTATATATAATGAATTATCAATATTTTTTAAATAATCATTATCTAAATCTGTATAATCCAATAAGTAATTATGAGTAGTATCATTATTGTTATTAGTAGTAGTAGTATCATGAATAGTAGTAATATTCCCTTTATTATCTGTAATAAAATCTGTATTCATTAATGATGTTGGTGTTATGTAAGAATTCAGTTTAGCATTAGATGATGATCTATGACATTCTGGTAATTGAATAGTAAATTGAAATTTAATACTATTTAAATCATGGTCATATGTATACTTCATTAAGTGTTCATTCAATCCAATAGTAGTAGTACTATTATTAGTAGTATTGTTATTATTACCACTACTATCATTATTATTATTATGCATTGTATTGGGAACGATCGAAGATGGTGAAGATCTTAAATGCAATGAATGTGGTGATGATGATATAGATTTATCGATGAGATTCATACCACTAGTAACTCGACAGTTTACATCTAAATATAAATATTTATTTTAAAGATAAAAATAAGAATGAATAAAGTGGTGAAAAGGTTTGATATATTTATATATACTGCTATATATGTATAATATCCATTTCTACTATCAGTCGTCAGTTAAATGCATTAGTTCAAGTTCTTACAACTCATTAGTACAATGTGATTAAACTGTCGAGAAGAAGAAAAGGAAGAAGTAATTCCTTCGTATCTTAGTGAAAAGTTGTAACCAGTAGAGTTCATCAACTGTGTAGGGGCAGTACAAAGTTTCGTTACACACAGTCGGGTATTTTATAGATAAAGCTCCATATTAACTACTATCTTTCACTTAACTTAAATTTCAGGCCACCAAATGCCCTGCTACGGTCGAGGGTGGGGAGAATCAGCTATCCCACTCCAAATGCTCTCACATGGCCACGCGTATACCGCCACTGACAGAAAAGTCCTATTCATTGCCTTCTCGTGGTGGAAGTATTGTTTGGTGCTTCAACTGGGTTAATGGATAGAGAGAATCCACCAGGAGAAGTTGAAAAACCCTGATTCAAAACCAATCATGCACATGGGGCTCCTGGATCCTGAGGGAACAAGTGGCGTACGAACGAATTATTGGTCACCGGCTTCCATGGGACTGCATCTCCTTACGTTGCTCCATCGCACTGTGGATTAAACCTCTAGGTGATAGGCTAGGGCAGTGGTCTCATAGGTCTAGGTGCCCGAGCAGTATCACAGACCACACATAAATCACGTGACTTGTGTGGCGGATATGTATTCCGTTCCCCTTTGTACCAATATTTATGTATTCAAATAAATAAATAAAATATGGTAACTGCCACGAGTCATAATAAAGCTTAACAATAATCATACAGTCAGAGATATTATTCATCAAGCTAGTTGGGCTGAGAGTGAGCTCCATTTACATTGATTAATTATCGACTAGAACCTAGTGTCATGTTTGTCTAACCTATAGTGATGATTGAATTATATCAAGCTCCAGTCCAGTTCTTAGTCTAAGTGACTCAATATGGCGTGTATAAAATATTGATTCAATGTGATTGGAGATAGTTAGTAAACATGATGGTGACTGTCGATTAGAGTGAAATCTAGGTCGAGGAGGGTTTCATACTGACTACCTCCAACTACCTAACATAGTGCAAACGATTTCAAGTCACTTAAACTATTGGAAACAATGCAATTTGATCGATAGAATTCAATCAGCACTAAAGGACTAGACAAACATGACAGCGATCACTCCATAGTGACTAGTAGGATGTTAATACTACATCTCTTCGATTAACCCTTTTCTTTTTATTCCGGTTCTGGAAAGTTCATTTTCAAAAACGAATCAATTTCGACCGACTGAAAATTAAGCATCGCTGAACAGATTCACTTCGTCCCCATTTGAGACTATGTTTCTAATTTTAATCGATACTCACAGTTTAAATCACGAACAGATTTTAATAAGACCACAAATGAAAACCTGAAAGCACCATAGACAATGAATGACAGTCGTGCAATATCGTAAATTGATTGCAGTTAGACATGCACACCGTTGAATGCTCTCTCAACCATGATCAACCATTTGCACGTAAGAAATTCAAGATTCGACTCCCAAACTTAAGATCGCGGATGCGCACTTCTGAAGGATTCCATTCTACAACAAAACGTTTGTCTAACCCTTCCAGGTTTTCAATAGCAGTTTAATCAATATCAATAAGTGATTTAAACCACGAAAATTCTGCAACCTCCACAAATCTCTCAATACTAATTTAATCGACTTCTCATACAGTACAGAGATCATTCAGTGATCATAAATAGACCCTGATGATATAATGATTGATCGACAACTACCATCAATCATTAATTCACACCACGACTTCTTTGAATTAATCACAAAGTTAGTTACAATGATACGTAATAATCAAATTAACAATCTCAACCAATTGATCGATCAGTGAATTATTTTCAATAAAAAATTATAAGACAGAAATATTACCATTTGATTTTCCAATTAAATTAGGAAATATTGATACACAATTATCATGGGTTGTACTTGTATTATTATTATTATTGCACTGTTTAATAGGTGAATTACGTTTTTCTATGTTAACAGGTGGAACAATTCTTGGAGGGAAATAATTAGAATATTGTTGTTGTGGTTTTGTACACGTTCCAATAATGATTAATCGACGTGAAGTTTTCATGGTAGCATACTGTAATCGATTATTATTATTATTATTGTTTAAAGAGCCCTCTAAATGATCAGAATTGTTCAATGTTGAAGGAATATAATTCAATTCACAATTGATTTCATCAACTAATGCATTTAATCTATCAACAAGATAAGAAGCAGTTAATTGTGGTAAACTATGAAGAAGTACATCAATTGATGGTAGATAAACAATAACAATTCCATTGATTAATTGAGATTTCATATTGAATGTTGTTAAAGAAGAATTATTTAATGTACGTCGTATAGAGGAGATAATTTGTGCAATAGCCGCTTCTGGACACATTCCAAGACTTGTAGGGAATGCAAATAGATTGGCCAAATTAAGTGTGAATACCTTGGTATTAAACATGAAAAAATGACAGTAGGAGAAGAAGGGATAGTAGTAAAAAGTGATGTACAAGGAGAAAATCAAATACACACAAGTACATGTATAAACATATTAAGACGTGAACCACACTTTGAATTACTAGTGTATCCTGACATGCGCCACATAAATTATTCGATCTATGTGACGGCTGTAATACTGCCCGGGTGCTCAGAACGAACCAGGTGGTTTTTTAAGGGGCTACAACCCCGAGCATTCGACCTAGAGGTCTGATCCACAAGGCAGTGAATCAACGCCGGGAGATGCAGTCCCATGGTAGCCGGTGAGCGACGATTGGTTCATACTCCATCTGTTCATTCAGGATTCTGGAGTCCATGTACACAACTGCTTTGAAATGAGGGTTTTTCAACTCCCCTAGGTGGACCGTCCGTATCCATCAACCCGGTTAAAGCACCGGACATTCGCTTTTTGTCCTTTCAATTTCGTAAACAACACCCCCGTCACGAGAAAGCAGTGAGTAGGACTTCCTTAGCAGTGGTTGTATGCACGTGGCCATATGAGAGCATTTTGTGAGGGAGAGCGAACTCTCCTCACTCTCGACCGTACCACGACATTTGGAAACCCGGTTTCTTAAATGAATAAATACAAAACGAGGTGTTCATTCCAGATAACTCATCATTTACCTTCGAAGATAGCATATATTAAAAATTAATTTATGAAATTAATCTCACTTACATGTAATGCCTCTAATCTATGCCATACAGCATTCATAATAATTTCCGATATATTACCATGAATGAATAATTTCGATTTGATAATACACGATGAAACATTATCATATACAATGCCTGTTGATGATGACGGTGATGATGATGATAATAATAAAGATAATTCTTTATTATTATTACTCAAGGAACCAAACTTTCTTGAATTAGTCAATAATAATATTCGTGTTATATAATTTACAATTTTATTAACATGATGTGATAATAACTTGGCTAATGTCGGAGATAATGGTGTACGTATAGTAGAAGATAATGCATTTGTTGATGGTGTTAAATTTGAAGCTGATACATCACTATCAAAACGATCACTTGATGCATGAACAATTTGTAATGCTTCAAACCAATCCGCATGAGAGACCTTTTGAAAATAAACAAAAAATAGAGAAAAGAAAGGGAAGAATAAGTAATATAAGTGAAAAGTCGGATAACTCAATGAAGTCATCTTTGAATCATGACGATATATATATATATATATATATATATATATATATATATATATATATATATATATATATATATTATTGTAAATTCGTAAACTGTTCTCTTGAAAACTAGGCCACCAACCAGCACTCTACAACTCACTCCGTGCTGGGCCTTCTTTTGTAGTTTTATCCAATTTTTGTTGATTTTTCTTATGTTTATCCCCATTTCTCGGCGTAATGTGTTCTTTGGTTTTCCTTTGGTCTTAAGGATTTCAAATGAGGGGTTGGAGCCCCTTTGGGGTTACTGTCGGTCCCAAGTCCGGATAAAAGAGGGAGGTTGGGTATGGAGTTAGCGACCTCATCCCGTAGAAAACTAACTCGCTAAAAAACGTTAACCAGAAAAAGATAATCCAATCCATTTAAACTCTGCTTTGGGAATTAGAAGGTCTTCATTTAGAATAGTTATAACGCCTCATAGTGAAAGCCGAATTCCTTCGGAAGTCACGAGGCTGATGTCCATCCTGACAACCAGAGCAGCTACTAATTTAGGTATATGGAATGCTTTTACAATGTGGGAAACCGGAAGTCTTCCAAACCGCTGCGGAAATGAAGAGATACAACCTGGAGGTGCATAGAATCCGTGAAATTTACTTTGAATTTCTCAATAAATGCCAAAACGTTTCACGTTATGTCATCGTGTGAAACAAAATAGTTATATATAGAAATCTTTAACAAACAAAAACACAGTAATTCATTCAATTACCAAAAAAGTACAACTTACCACTAAATACTTATGTTCCAAAGCTAATTTCACCTGACTACTATATACCTGAGGATAACATCGACGTAGACAGCATAAACATGCTTCTGTAGTTAATGCTTTGAGATCAGCACCGGAGAAATTGATCGTTGCTGCAGCAATTTGATCAAGTAACTTGTTGGAAAAGAGGGAAAAGGAAGTAAGAAAACGAACGAACAAAAGAAAAGTATTGAATTTGAGCAGAAATCAACTTTACCGTGCAAGCCTTGACACGAATAGAAATTAACAGAGTGGAAATAGCAATTGTTAGTGTGAAGAGAGATTATTTAAACTGTAATCACATCTAATCTGGGCCCCCAAATATCCTGGTACGTTCAACGGTGGTGTGAATCAGCTAACCCTCTCGAAATACTCTCATATGGCTACGCGTGTACAACCACTTACACATAAATCCTACTAACTGCCTTCTCGTGGTGGAAGTGCTGTTTACGAAATTGAAAGGACGAAAAGAGAATATCTGGTGCTTTGATCGGGTTGGTGGACATACACGCTTCAGCTAGGGGAGTTGGCAAACCCTCATTCCAAAACAATGTTGCATATAAGCTTCAAGATCCTGAGAGAACAAATGGTATATGAACCGATTTTTGTTCACCAGTCAGTCAGCTACAACGTAGGACCAAGCACCGGCTATCATGAATCTGCATCTCCTGACGTTATTCCGTTGCCTTGTGGATTAGATCTATGGGTGAGAGGCTCGGGCAGTGACCTTCTACGAAGACCACCTGTCTTGGTATGGGAACCCGAGTAGTATTCAAGCCCTCATATAAATCGAATGAAGTGTGGTGCATACGTATTTGGTGCCTCTGAACAAATATGTACATGTTTAAATAAATAAATAATAAATCTAATCTGCAACGAGAAACCACTATTTTTTTATTAGATTTTGTATTTTGACTAATTTTCATGAAGATATAGTCGCTAATCACTTATAGATTTATGGATTATTAAGGAATAGTATCTAGTGTAACTACGACCAGAGAACGACATGAAGAGATGTACACTTCAGAGACAAGGTTGGGGAAAGAAATCTATTAGAGATGGTACATTTTTATGAGAGAAAAAATCATGTTCAAATTCCATATCCCTTACGATTCTATCCTTCTTTGTAACAACATGAATTTTGATTTTTAGGGTACAGTTAGGATTAGGCTCTACCACCCTAAAATTCTAAAACTCCAGATTCTATGAAATTTTATTTTTATTTTGAATGATGAAATTAATTTACAACAGCTGTAACTGGCTGACAGCTGATCGGTTAGTTTCAAGATCATTCCTAGAATCGTTCTAGGATGTCACTGTCAACTGTAGTAAACAAAGATAAAATAGAAGATGAATAATCAATAATCTAATATTTATACGTTATCGATTGATCTCAATTAGGGTGGCATTAAGAATCAATGAATAGTGGACGGAAGTTTCGTCCTGGTATGGGGATCCTTCAGCAGCATGCACACATAACACAACCAGAAATCGAAGCAGGGATATTCAAGAATCGCGGTGATCATAATCTATTGTCTGAGTTGCGCAACATCTTGATTTCTTATGAATACAAGCATTGCCCCACCTTCTATCCCATCCCTTATTTACTCAGAGATTGAACTTACCAATGAATCTGGTTTTGAGTCCCATTTTGCAGTAATCACATCGAGTATACGACGTCGAACTGCCTCTGTTGGTAATGTGAATACGAATTCACGATCAAACCGTCCAGGACGTCGTAAGGCAGGATCAATAGCATCTGGTCTATTTGTTGCACCAATAATCACAACCTCAGCACGATTATCTAAACCATCCATTAAACTGAGAAGAGTGGAAACAATGCTGGAGTGAATTTGATCCTTAAAAAATAGGAGAGAAACCGAGACAGAGAAAGGTATAAAAACATCAATTCTACTTCCAATAATCATGATAAACCTAGAAAAAGGGATTTTCATAACTATTCAGCCATTAGTTAGTTTATGTTAAACTACTTAATATCGTTTCCTATCATGAGGTAAAATATTTATACAATTTTTGTGATATACATACCGGTCAACTAGAATATGAGCACCAAGAATATCTTTTTATTAACCATTTATGTGATAAGGCTGTTTTTAAGATCAACTGTATCGTGATGAATTGACAGGTATCAACGAGAACGTGCTATTCTTACTAGATGTATGTACACATATCATCATAAAGTTTGACAACCACCGAGAGCGAAATGAATAAAACACGACTAGATTATTGAAGATGGTATTTCATGGTGGTAAAACTTTTAGAATAGTTAGTATGAATGGGAAGGGTAGTGAAGACAGCTGAACTTTGTGGTTTACATAATGGACTGAGCTCTAGTTAGACAACCATTGGAAACCAAGAAGCACTGGACAGATATTTCCTGCTAGTACAATAATTCTTAGTGGTGTATGACACTACGTCAAAGATAGAAACCAGGGACTTTTAGGTTTCACGGTGAGTGCTTAATCTTCAGTCCAGTGAGTCGCCACCTAATAGTTTAGATTTCCAACTTAATTCAGTTTGTGATCTTACACAGCCATCTTAAAGCGCCTTACATGTGACAAAGTTAAAATCAACCAATCACTAATTCTCACTGAAACTTTAAAAACTAGTTTTCAAAATCAGTCGATAGTAAACAGATAACTTTTATTGGTACAAAAGGCTTGTCATCTCCTAAGTTTATAGATTCGTAAAAATTTGTGGAAAATCGACTATGAACTTACTTGTTTTGAAGATCGAACAGGAGCTAAACCATCAATTTCATCGAAAAAAATTACAGAAGGACGCATTCGATATGCTTGATCAAATAGTAATCTTAATTGACGTTCAGATTCACCAACCCACTTAGATAAACAATCTGCTCCTTTACGCATAAAAAATGCAATAGGACGACGTTGTTTTACGGTATTATTATTATTATTATTGCTACCTTGAGCTAAACGACTACATTCATTTGCAAGAGCTCTGGCTAACAGTGTTTTACCAGTACCTGAGGAAAAGTATAGTTTAAAAATATTCAGAACAGTTTATGAGCTTATATAGATTAATATATTTGATTAAAAGTAGATAAGTGGATGCATTTTATTGACCAAGATAACTATTTCAGAGAAGAAATCTCTTTTCACACTAATATTATTATTATTATTTGACATTCTGACGATTAATATCTCAGCTACGATAATTGTTCTTTAATTTGGAATAGAATTTGGGGTAGTAGATAATAAACTGCAGTCTTCTGAATACAATGAGTAATAAAAAGTCTGTAGTGCTAAAGGAGATCCTCTCCATGAATATTCAGTTTAAAGTATACAACGACAGTAATCCTGAAGAAAATACAATTTTGAAGTCTTTGAAAATAAAGCATTTTATCCCGTTGAACTTCGAATTACCCCAATGATTCGTGAATGTATGAAAAGACAAGCTTTTGCTTTGGGCAACATCAATGTATATCGACATGTAAACTTGTTTTTGCAAATAGAAGATCAGGTTGGCCGTACAAAACAGGCTAACTTGAAACGCATTCCGAAGCATTGCTTTGTTTCATGATCAAAACACCCCCCAAATGCCTTGGTACGGCCGAGAGTGCCGAGAGTCCGCTCTCCCTCTCCAAATTTACTCAAATAGCCACGCGTATTTAGCCTCTGCCAGGGAACTCGTACTCACTGTCTTCTCGTGGCATTACTGTTGTTTACGAAATTGAGGACGAAAAGCGAATGTCCGGCGCTTTAACCTGTACGGTGGACATGGAGAGTCTAACTAGGGGAGTTAGAAAACTTCGATTTCAAACCAATGGTGCACATGGGCTCCAGTATGCCGAAGGAAAAAATGGCATTAGAACCAATTGTTCGTCACCGGATGACATGGGAATGCATATCCTTACTTTAGGTGGCCGATGGGGACTTGTTGGTCGCAGGTCAGATAACCCGGACCGTCTACTGCAACTGTGCACAGATCACAACCTGTTTCTCGCTAGCACTAACTTTCGGCACAGACACCGCCGATGTGCCACCTGACGTCCTCCCTCTGCATCCCTAGCCTGGACTCAGGTTGATCACATCGCGATCAGCTACCGCTGGCGTGGTTGTGTACAAGACTGCCGCTCATTCTGGAGTACCTATCTGGACTCTCACCATGCCTTGATCTGCGCCAATCTTACCTTACTTTTCAGTGGACAACGAAGTGACCGCCACCAACGGATTGATATTAGCAAGCTGGTTGCAACTTCTGTTGCAAATAAGTATCGAACCGAGCTAGCCTCTAGGCTAGCTACCACTCCACCGAAAAGTATAGATGAGCATTGGTTGCAATTGCATGACGCCATGAAAATGGCGGGTACAGTCAGTTGTGGGTTCGCGAAACGTCCCGCTATATAAGCATTGGGTTTCGTCTGGTCCCTTACAACTCACTGAAGCCCGTCGGTCTACTCCGGGTGACCGCGAGTTTGACCACAAACGAAGGATGTTACGTAAAGAAATTGGGCAAAGCTTGTGTAAGGACCGAGAAGCCTGGTGGTCGAAGCGTGCTGATGAGCTGGAAGCAGCAGCTGCATCTGGTAACTACCGGAAGCTCTTCCAACTCATCCGAGCCACTGGCAGCAAGAAGTCTGGTGTGAGTGAAACAATCTGCGAGGATGACGGGATGGAGTGGTAGCTAGCCTAGAGGCTAGCTCGGTTCGATACTTATTTGCAACAGAAGCTGCAACCAGCTTGCTAATATCAATCCGTTGGTGGCGGTCACTTCGTTGTCCACTGAAAAGTGGAAGTCCGCAAGGAACTCCAACTCTTGAAGCGTTACAAATCACCTGACCCAAATGACTTACCTCCGGCTCTTTTTAAAGATGGTGGTGACGTTCTGACTAGGGAACTGACGACGTTGTTTACAAAGGCTTAGGTGTTAGAGAGTGTACCAACGTCATGGAATGAGTCGATAGTTGTCCCTATCTTTAAAAAGGGTTCACATCGTTCCTGTAACAACTATCGGGGGATAAGTCTACTTCCGATTGCGTCCAAGCTATTGGCTTTCGTCGTACTTCGTAGAAGCCAGTGGCGATCCTGCTGTAACCTTCTTTTACTTTCTTCATAAAAAGTGGTTGTGTCTCCCTTAACTGAAAGATTTTTTCCGATTGCGCCTTTCCGTTCCCTCATTACTACCACACCACATTACACAAATCTCTTCTTTATTGTTCTCTTTTTTTTGCGCTCCATAGCTTTTTCTTCCTATTTCTCTTCGAATTCTCATTGTTTTGTGTGGCGCATATATATTGGCGCTCTCTTGTACCAATATTCAAATGTTCAAATAATAATAATAATAATAATAATAATAATAATAATAATAATAATAATAATAATAAACCCTAAAAATGCACACCTCGCCTTATCCCACGGATATCCGTCTCCGGCGGTAAGGTCTCAACAAGTACGGAGCTAACACAAAAATTACCCATAAAAAGGTCGTGTGTGGCCGACCTGAAGCAGTTGTCCCTTGGGCACTTCGGTCACGCTCCCAGGTCACTAAAATCACCTCTAATCCAACTTCCTTTTAAGGTACCTCCAGAAGAACCCTTCCATGGTGTGGGCTACCGAGAAGTGATAACCGCCCTCATACCTCTAACAGCATTCAAGACCACTGAGTCTAAAACACCCTTTCTATCCTTCATGTTTAATCAAATTGATTATTATCACTTCATCATTATGTTCTTCATACCAAAAATGAACAAATCTCTCTCTTCTACAAGAACATTCTAATATTTTTCTGCATAATTCATTAGAACGTTACGTAACTTCCCTTCTACAATTGAATAGAAGCAGTGTAAGAGTTGGATACACTTACCAAATTACATATCTTTAAAGTTGGTGCGAGAGGCTAGTAGTTGGCGAAATCTTAAAGAGGACTAGAAAAAAACGTTCACTTGACGTTTACCGATTATTAAGATGTGAAACAAATCATCTAGGATAATTTGACACCTGTTTGTATACACATAAGGCGATAAGGCCAATGGTTATCATAAGACCAGGAATTTTCGTAACACTTTTAGGTATACAGATGAATATCATCAACATAGAGCCTGGTAAATACGTGTGTTAGACAGTCTCCATATCACGTTAGTATAACAAGATGATGAAAAGATAAAGTGGAAACGTAGATACGAAGGAACACTGGAGTTTGAGATCGAGTGAAAGATACCAAGTGAACAAGTTACAGTCACGCAAGACTAAAGTGATTACTACTTACCTGGAGGTCCTGAAAACAGTACACCACGAGGTGGATCTACATTGAATTTTGAAAACACTTCAGGATACATTAGCGGTAGAATTATACTTTCTTTCAATGCTAATATATGTTTTTCATGACCCCCAACTTGTTCGAACCCGACAGATGAATCAATAGACATTGGTTCGATATCTGCCAAGCAAGTTGTAGAAAAACTTCGATTTCCTGCCGTAGATTTATTCTTTAAAAAGTAAACAACAACGGTGTATGAAAAAGGAAGGGATCGATAACACAAATTAACATTTGAAAGAAAAAACTGATGCAGAACCATTGAGACCAATAGTACTAATGTACAGATAGTTGTTTACTTCCAATATGGTACTGAACAGTAGTGTCAAGGATTGAACCCAGGATTTCAAAGTAATGGTCGTACTTTTGAAGATTAACTGAAATTGGACATATAAACAACTAGATTTCGATTGAATACCTCGATAAGAAACATACACTTCGTGGGTCTAATCACTGATGGATCATATTAGTAAGAATTTACTACAAACTTCATAAAAGGAAAGGTGAGTTCTTCAGGGATTTCCTAGTTTAGAACAATATTTTCTAGACCAGTTCATGACGCAAATTTTTTACTGAACAACCTAACACTAAACTGCCAAGGGAATCACAGAATCAGATAGTCTTTTTCTTTAATGCTGAAGTCTTAGAGATAATCGAGATTAGGCTAGCCAAGAGACAATTCAAGAAAGGATGAATTAGAAACCTAGGATCTAGATAAAGAATGAGTGCAGCTACGCTATTAAGGACGATTTTAGACATTGTCACCCAAAATATCAAGCCATTAGTCACGGTAATCACGCAGTCTGAACCTGTAGATATGGTTCAGTACAACAGTCAATGTTTTTACAGACCGAATTCTTGAAACCTACTCCCACAACAGCCATCACCGCGCATGGAATAAGTTGGTTGATGGCGGATAATTGTTAAGCTGTTCCGTGTGCATGTTACGTCCCAACTGTCATTATCAAGTCGGTATTATGACTGTCATCGTTGAATAGCTCAAACGGTCATTAATTCGTCAGTATTGTAGGATGACCGTAAATCCCGATAAACACTCTTTTCTTCTTAAGATCTTAAACAAACAATTTTTTTCTGATAGTTAATCACAATGTTTGTAAAATATTGTAACAAGGAGAATGAAAACACTTCAATGTTCTTGTTACCTTGAAATTTCTCTGATTAGGATATCTTCAGATTCTAAAATATGATAAAAACGTTAGTCAATTACAATACACATGGCTCGTATACATCTTAACTGAACTGACCATTTTTTATGTTACCTAGTAACAACAATTAGCTACCGAAAACCAAATTAAGTGTCGAAGTGACCTATAAATCCGCGCGAATCAATGTTTGGAAAGTGCGGTGGTGTTTTAATCCATCAAAACAATATATTTTAATTGAAGGGTTCCTCTGCAGATTGGTTTAATTTGTAAGTCTTAGATTGGTCTCAGCTGAGATACCATAAGAAACCATAAAGCACTGGACAGTTATTTCGTCGCAGAATAAGACTCCTCGGTAGAACCTATTCATGACTCCGCTATGTGAAGGTTAAGATCGGAACACCTTTCGTTTGTCAAGTTGGAACAAACTTCTGCAAATTAAATTGCCAAAATTCCAATCATCTACTCATTAGTAGATAAAGATTTGAATTAGATTTCTTGTAGATCAGTGTTTATTAGCCAAGGTGTTTGACTTTCAGTCACCAACTCCTAGATTCCAACCCAGCTTTATCTGCTTCGGTTTAAGCGACCAAGTGTTAGTATCATTAGCCTTTACACTTAGAATATAGCGCATACTCAAGTACCTTGTAAACGAGTTGGATTGTTTTTATTATTATAATACGACAGTTAGATTCAAAAAATTATCTCTATAAACCAGTACAAACTATTAAAAAAATTCTGTTTTACAGAATATGTATAACTTATAAAAGAATAATATATGAATAGAACATACTTCATAACCAAGTTGATGACTGTTTATAGGCATAAGCTCTGATCTAGCATGTATAATACTTTTATTAATACGACGTTGAAAACGTTTTTCATCTTTATCAACTGTTAATGGAACATTATTCTCTTTAGTGGAAGAACAATGCCAACGATTATGCCAATTATTACGATTACAGAATAATCTATCAGAAATATGAGATCTTGACGATGATGTTGATGAAGAAGACGATGTACTACTACTACTTGAACCACAATGTTCTAAATTTTTACGATGACTTTAAAAAATGTAGAAAGTAGGGAATGTTAAAACGAATAACGTTTTAAGCAGAAAAATATTAGAAAATAGAATAAACAGTTTTCTATTATGATGTGAAAAAGTCTTTTCATCTTAAGATGTTAATATCATTATTCTATCAACTTCTTATAACCTTTACAAGTGTCACTTACTAGGTTTGTAGAGATTTAGTGTATAAGCGTTAAAACTACAACTGATTACAATGCGTACCTGTTAGTGGGATAAAGAATTTTCTGTAAAGGATTGTGTTGGAGCACGCTGATTGACTATTTCTTAACCAATCAGAGCTAGCGAAAACTTGGAGAAGACTCGAGAATCTTCTCATGATAAAAAAAACTATAAATACACTAACATTTTTCTTATTGTAATCCCTACTTCTATTTAACCTTGTTATTTGGAATACAATTACATCCCTGTTCCACCGTGTTCTGATTTGGAGACTTGTCAAGTGAATAAGTGTTCAAAAATACTAAGAAATAAGAGTAGCTGAATCGTAATAATAACAGTGGCGACGAGGAAAAGGAAAAACAACATTCAAGATGCCGATATCAGATGACCAACTCAACCGAATACTACAACAACAGCAAACACAACTTGATGCACAAACGCAGTTGTTAGAAACTCTGACGCAACAGCTTAACATCCACTGCTTGGGTTCACACGCTAACTCAACTACATCTTGAGATGCAATTGCCAGAAGCAACCTAGAATTCAACTTCGACCCCGAAAGTGGAAATACCAATTTCATGTGGTTCAAGCATTAGAATTCTGCTAACAAGACAACGCGTGGAAGACTCGATTTTCTGATGCGTAAGTTGGGAAGTAATGAACATACACACTACGTTGACCACATATTGCTCAGTTTCGAGGAGACAGTAAACCAGTTGTCAGAGATATTCGGTGAATCATCTTCACTATTTAGTACTCGATATCAGTGTCTAAATTTGGTGAAACGTGAAGCCAATAACAGTATCAAACTGAATATCAACAATAAGGTGTAGACAAACCATCGTAAAAGTAATAAAGCTTATCTCTTCTGAATAAATTAATAACTATGATGACTCAACAGGTTGAGGTGTGTATGAGGAAAGATAACGACTTTTTGGCATTTGTAGTGTTTAGTTATATGTTCCAGTTTAAATGTGAACAACAACAAAGATACAGGCACGTACACCAAGCTGACGGGCATCGAAAACGATGAAATCTGCACCTTGAATTCCATAGCTAACTATTACCAATATATACTTATATTTAATGTTAGGTGATTAGTGAAATAATTCATGATTAGTATTTTTATATAACATTCTTTTAAACTGATTTCTCGGGTGGATGTCAATTAAAAATGACGGTTACTACACACAAAGAACACTAGTTCCTCAAGATTTCGTGTACACCTTACTAACGACTCCTAACTATCACAAAATCTAGATCAAACACGATTTAACGCAAATTATGTATAACCACTTGAAATCTCGTTTACCATATTATTATTATTATTATTTGAATACATAAATATTGGTACAAGAGAGCGCCAATATATATGCGCCACACGTTTACCATATGTATGCATAAATACATATAATACTAGCTAGTGGTTATTTATTCAAACACATAAACATTGATACAAGGGGGCATAAAAATAAATATGCGATACACATAGTAGTTATCATTCAATTTGTGTGTGGGCTCGGACAGAAACAGGTGATTTTCTTAGGGACCCACTCCTCGAGTCGTTGACATGGTGATCTAATCCATAAGGCAATACACCAACGTCAGGAGATGCGGTCCCGTGGTAGCCAGTGAATAACAACATTTTCATGAGTCATTTTTCCCTCAGGATCCTGAAGTCCGTATGCACTATTGGTTTACAATAAGCGTTCCCCAACTCCCCTAGGTGGACCCATCGTACCCACCAACCCGGTCTAAGGGTCAGACACTTGTTTTTCGTCCTTTCAACTCCGTAAAAGACACCTCTGCCACAAAAATGTAGTGAATAGAATTCCACCGGCAGTGGCCATATACCCGTAGCCATATGAAAGCGGACTCCCACCGTCAACCGCAATAAGGCATTCGGAGGCCTTGTGGGTCAGGGAGGTCGCATATATATATAAGCAGAAACCCTCTACACTCACTTGGATTTCGATTGACGTGATCGTCTTTCTTTATGATAACCTGTACCGGCTAACCAGTTTCTTTGATGTTGTTGAACACCATGATTGTTACTATTACTATGATTATTCTGCAAATTTTCAACTGAAAGAAAAGAAAAAAAGAACTTTTGAGAAATTTATTATTAACTCAATCGAACTAAAAGAACACAAGTCAGAATAATAATTACGTACATTCTATTCCATGTACAGTTATTATTAGTTGAACATTTCAAGATCTAATCTAATTTACTAAGGGAATATAGATTTTCTGTATAGGGATTATGGAGATTACTAATTTTTTTATTGAGATCATGAACCAATTGATGTATGACCACTAATGAAAACCTAAAAGCACTGGACGGCCGTTTCATTCAATTGTAGGACTCCTCAGTAAAGTGCGCATCCACGATCCCGCTCGCGGGATTCTAGCCCAGGGCCTTCGGTCTCGCGAGCGAACGCTTAACTTCTAGACCAGAGCCGGCCGATATCCAACGGTATTAATGTCTTACCTCAACTAATCCACGAATTTGCACGACCAACTTCCATTGTACTGAGGTAGATACCTGTCTCTACCCGACACCGATTAGCTCCAATGGTCATGGCTTCTCACTAGAACTCCGAGAATTCCCTCACGAAGCTAGTCACTAGTGAACACATGGTAATTGTCAGTATAAAGGTTGTGGAGGTTATTAAGTTCTTTGATTGAGATCATGAAACGATTGAAAAAAAAGAATAGATTTATTAACGGCTTTGCGCTACACTGTTAAATTTATGTATTACAACTGTATTACTCATGAATAGCTTGTTATTTTGTTATAGAATGTTTTATATTTTATAACTGATTAGTGATAAACTAACTGTTCTATTAATTGGTTTATATATTTTCTACTTGTCCATATAATTGTTCAAAGTTGATTCGTTTTACTGAGTTTGTTACCTTATGTCTGAGTTTTAACGCCATGGATACACACTACCCCGGAGTTCCATACTAGAGTGAAACGGTTGTTATACGATATACAGTTACATATCAAGAGTCTTTAACAAGTCCTCGACCAAATATAGAGCAATATGAACACACGCGAACTCTTGTATGTTTCGATAACAAATGGTTGTTGATTAACTGGGTCTGAAAAAAATATCCTCTGTGCATAAAATTCTAGACAAACATTTTGAACTGAGAAAACTGCACCCCAAAATCGTCTAAAATTCTCAGTTAGTCAAACTCAAAGTAGAACCTGGCAAATATGTACATCTCTACAAGGTGCCACATTCTATTAGCGTAACGAGACGAAATTCCAAGGGACAATCCCACAGTAGTACAGGTAGTAACACTATCAGTGGTAGTGAAAAAGATTAGGCACCGAAAATATAAATCAGTGAAATAAAAAGTAAGGTTATGATGAATTTAGGATCTCAGGATTTGTGGAAAGACAAGGAATGAATGCATCTGTGCCATTACAAACGATTTTGAGCAATGTCAAAGTCTCTAACCATGGATTACGATAAGCATGTGGACCCCAACCAGGTAGTGTATACATGATAACATGGCTAAACCTGGTTATCAGTGACTGATGCTAGGTTTCGGTTTGGCCGCCCCTAGCTTTCTTCCATCCTACTTCTCTACATCACACGACATCGCCCATTAAGGTAGACAGTGGTTAGAAATTTGTGATACATGACTCAACCACTTCAGCTGATGAATATTTACCACCTGTTCAAGCGATTTACCATCCTTACCTAGTACCCTTTTTCTAACCCAGGGATAGATCACACAATGATCCCAAAATATACGAGTAATGTATCAAAGATACCTATTATCGAATACTAGTAATTCACGAATACCTTATATTCTTAATGACCATTTTTCACATTCATAAATTGGAACAGCGCGAACTGTTGTGCTGTAAAATTAAGCTTTAGTTAGGAGACAGATATCTCTCTCAAACCACAAGTGACGCAGGTTGACAAAAGTCAAATTAGCTTTCTGAATACGTGCTGAGATTTCATCAGACATCAGACCATAAGGATTGATCGGACTCCTAAGATAAATGAAGCAGTTGGTACCTTCAACTGCTTCACTTCCTATCATTAATTCAAACGCTGACGCAGACCAATCCTTAAGCAACATTTCCCATCTGAAAGGAGAGAATCGCATCCTAAACATCCTTGCATTGCTGATTAAGATGGTCAGAAGACTGTATTTTGTCAGTAATCACCGAGCGAAACTATATTATCAGAGTATTCACAGTTAACAAGTGAATCACCTAGTAGAGCATCAACCCCTGAAAAATCAGACGGTGAAATCATTATCTTTCAAAGAATGTCTAAACGTTTGTTAATACCTAACTTAAAAGTTATGAAAAATGGAATTTCAAATGGATTATAGTAATATCAACTCAAACCTTTGGTTTTCATGAGATTCATCACTAGTGACGATGGCCCCCAAATGCCCTGGTACCGTCGAGAGTGGGGTGGGTCCACCCTCCCTCTCGAAATACTCTTACATGGCCACGCCTATACAGCATCTGCCAGGGAAGTCCTACTCACTGCATTCTCGTGGCGGGGGTGTTGTTTACGAAAATGAGAGGACGAAAAGCGAATGTCCGGCGCTTTAACCGGATCTCAAACCAATGGTGCACATGGGCCAATTCTCGGTCACCGGCTACCATGGGAATGCATCTCCTTACGATGGTCCACTGCCTTATGGGTTAGACCATTAAGTCAAAGGCTTCGGGTGTGGCCCCCTAAGATAACCACCTGCTTCGGTCTGGGCACCCGGGCAGTATCACAGCCCACATGCAAATGATGAACTCTCTATATCTATGTAAACTACATTTCTCGCTCCAAATAACAATCAAATGATTCAAATTATTATTATTATTATTATTATTATTATTATTATTATTATTATTATTATTATTATTATTATTATTATTATTATTTACTACATCATTATTCACCCTCTTTTATTCCTACTCTGTCTATACTTATTTTTCGGTTTATACAGCAGCTTGTCTTTGGTGGAAATTCGACTCTATCTAAACGTTCTCGAGTCGCTGTCCGGTTGAAAACTGTATGTTATCACCGAATATGAGTACTGAAGCAATTTTTCTGAAACCACGTGCACCATTGTAACTGGCTGCCTTTAACGTTCGCACACTTATGCAGGTCGGACAACAGATAGGGCTGGCTATGTCTTTGGAAAGTCTTCATATCGATGTCTGCTGTCTATCCGAGATCCGTATTTAAGACTCTGGTGATGTACTACAAATTCGCTCTACATCTGTCACTTCAAAAAGCTTGTTTTACGTGCGCTTATCCGGGGACCCTGTGGCAACTTCGTATGGTCTCGCTGGCGTTGGTGTCGCACTAAGCTCCAGAGCTGAAGCAGCACTAATCGATTGGATCCCCATTAACAGTCGGTTATGTGCTGTTAGATTAGAGAGTTCCAACAAAGAAGAAATCGGCGTGAGAAACGATGTCTTTTCGTCATACCCGCCTATGCCCCGACAGGTTGCAGCCCGGATGCAATCAAGGATGAGTTTTACCACCGGTTATCTGTTCTTCTCCAGAAAGTGCGTCCGACAGATATTGTAGTACTAGCCGGAGACTTGAATGCGCAGGTCGGGCGTCTAGGCACATAAAAGAGTTGTTTAGGTGGCCAATGAGGACTTGTTGGTCGCAGGTCAGATAACCCGGACCGTCTACTGCAACTGTGCACAGATCACAACCTGTTTCTCGCTAGCACTAAGTTACGGCACAGACACCGCCGATGTGCCATCTGGCGTCCTCCCTCTGCATCCCAAGCCTGGACTCAGATTGATCACATCGCGATCAGCTACCGCTGGCGTGGTTGTGTACAAGACTGCCGCTCATTCTGGAGTACCTATCTGGACTCTCACCATGCCTTGATCTGCGCCAATCTTGCCTTACTTTTCAGTGGACAACGAAGTGACCGCCACCAACGGATTGATATTAGCAAGCTGGTTGCAACTTCTGTTGCAAATAAGTATCGAACCGAGCTAGCCTCTAGGCTAGCTACCACTCCACCGAAAAGTATAGATGAGCATTGGTTGCAATTGCATGACGCCATGAAAATGGCGGGTACAGTCAGTTGTGGGTTCGCGAAACGTCCCGCTATATAAGCATTGGGTTTCGTCTGGTTCCTTACAACTCACTGAAGCCCGTCGGTCTACTCCGGGTGACCGCGAGTTTGACCACAAACGAAGGATGTTACGTAAAGAAATTGGGCAAAGCTTGCGTAAGGACCGAGAAGCCTGGTGGTCGAAGCGTGCTGATGAGCTGGAAGCAGCAGCTGCATCTGGTAACTACCGGAAGCTCTTCCAACTCATCCGAGCCACTGGCAGCAAGAAGTCTGGTGTGAGTGAAACAATCTGCGAGGATGACGGGATGGAGTGGTAGCTAGCCTAGAGGCTAGCTCGATTCGATACTTATTTGCAACAGAAGCTGCAACCAGCTTGCTAATATCAATCCGTTGGTGGCGGTCACTTCGTTGTCCACTGAAAAGTGGAAGTCCGCAAGGAACTCCAACTCTTGAAGCGTTACAAATCACCTGACCCAAATGACTTACCTCCGGCTCTTTTTAAAGATGGTGGTGACGTTCTGACTAGGGAACTGACGACGTTGTTTACAAAGGTTTAGGTGTTAGAGAGTGTACCAACGTCATGGAATGAGTCGATAGTTGTAACTATCTTTAAAAAGGGTTCACATCGTTCCTGTAACAACTATCCGGCGATAAGTCTACTTCCGATTGCGTCCAAGCTATTGGCTTCCGTCATACTTCGTAGGTTGTTCAAAACCCGAGAAAGATTGACTCGCGAGGAGCAGGCTGGGTTTCGTTCTGATCGAGGATGTATTGATCATATCTTCACCCTCCACCAAATATTAGAACACCGCCATACTTATCGAAGGTCAACAATTGTAGTGTTTCTTGACATCAGGGTTGCCTTCGATTCGTTGGACATGACTGTTCTCTGGGATTGTCTATTCAAGAAGGGTGTGCCTGAGAAGTTTATCAACATCCTAAAAGCCCTATATACAAACACCTCAGGCAGACTGAGGGCATACAACCACCTTTCTCCATTGTTCTATTCGAGCAGTGGGGTTAGGCAGGGTTGCCCAATCTCACCATTCCTCTTCAACTTTGCCATCGATGACATTCTGGAAACAGCTCTGATGGATGTAGGTAATGGCGCTGTGGATCTGTTGCCTGAAGAAAGACTTCTCGACCTTGAGTATGCGGATGATATTGTCTTACTATGCAACAATGCCCAAGGCATGCAATCCGCACTTAATCAGTTGGCAATCAGTGTCCGTAGGTATGGTATGTGCTTTGCATCTTCGAAGTGCAAAGTACTTCTACAAGACTGGCAGGATTCTAACCCTGCACTCACTCTGGATGGTGAGCACACAGAAGTAGTCGAGAAGTTCGTGTATCTGGGTAGCTGCATAAGTGCTGGTGGGGGTGTGAGTGATGAGATAAATGCACGTATAGTGAAAGCCAGAGCGGCTTATGCCAATCTGGGCCACCTTTGGCGCCTTCGTGATGTTAGTCTGGCTGTAAAACGTCGAATGTACAACACATCGGTGAGAGCAGTTTTGCTCTATGCTTGTGAAACCTGACCTCTCCGAGTTGAGGATGTTAGACGACTCTCTGTGTTCGATCATCGCTGTCTCCGAAGGATTGCTGACATCCAGTGGCAACACCATGTCAGTAATGCAGAGGTTCGGCATTGTGTGTTCGGGCACAGAGATGATAATTCAATTGGTGTCACCATCTTGAAACACCGACTTCGGTGGCTTGGACATGTTCTACGAATGTCGTCCCAGAGAATTCCACGTCGTGCATTATTTGCCGACTCTGGGACTGGTTGGAAAAAGCGGAGAGGTGGTCAGTGCATGACATGGTGTCGTGGTATGAAAGAAAGCTGCAAAGGACTGGCTTCTGTCGGTCCTTCACGACTCCCTGGTTGGGGTCTGAGAGATGGTGCTACACAGTGGCTAGAGACGTTATCAGATATGGCTCAGAATGGAAGCCAGTGGCGATCCTGCTGTAACCTTCTTTTACTTTCTTCATGAAAAGTGGTTGTGTCTCCCTTAACTGAAAGATTTCTTCTGATTGTACTTTCTGTTCCGCCATTTTTATTATTATTATTACACCACCTTACATCAATCTTTTTTTTCCTCCTTCCCCTTAAATTCTCATTGTTTTGTGTGGCGCATATATATTTGGCGCATTCTTGTACCAATATTTGTGTTCAAATAAATAAATAAATAAGTGACGATGGATTATAACCCTATACGTATCGACATTGAATCTGAATTTTAAGAACTTCTAGAATGATTTAGACAATGAAAACACGAAAATGAGAAAAGCATATTGAGAAAAACAAGAAGCCCTTCTAAGTGGATAAACACCAATGTACCCTAAATGTTGTGCAATACAATTCCTGTGATCTAACTAGGTATATTTATTGAATAGATCATATTATTCAAAACAAATCTTACTGATATTGTGGTGAACAAGAACACAAGTGGGGACAATTGAATCCATCTAACTAAAATCTGAGAACCATATAGTAAATAGTTAATTTGCAAATTATCAATTCATCGTCTCAAACTTGAATATTCATTTTGTAAATATCAGTCCATTGTCTCAAATTTCATTGTTTATGCATTTCCATACCAATTACGTTCCGTTCCTATTCTTTCCTTATCGAAATACATTCTATGCCTGACCACCATTTTATACTACTTATGTGGATATAAGTAACCCATACCATAATATTTCGAATACTTAAGGAATGATAAACAAACAATTGAGAATAAACAATGTACATATACATAAAAATTATGTACAATTCTTACCCTGGTAAACAATAGTATTCTTACGATTACGTACTGGATAACGTCTTGTTTGTTGTTCATCTTGATCATCTTCCTCTTCATTATCAACATCATCTACACCATCATCATCTTCAAGCATAGCATTATTATGATCTTCTTCAACTTTTATTAAATGTGTACATGGTTTAATGTTAATGGATAAATTATCTTGTAATGAATTAGTTTGTAAATTATATTGAATATTTCGATGAGTAGATAATGATTTTTTAGTTATTTCACAACGTAAATGTTTTCGTCTTTTTCTTTGTGGATAATAATTTGATGTTGATCTACGTGGACGTAATACACGATGTGGATAATGTAAATTTGAATCATCTGAACTTGAAGAATATAAATTGGATTGATTTATTTTTTTATTGATAAAATATCTTTGATTTTCATTGGTTGATGAATTTTCTTCAAAATTATTATTGATATGTTTAGGATCAGATGATCCATTTAATGAATTCTGATTAAAATGAACTATTTATGAGGAATAGAAATAAAATATTAGAACTAACAATAAATAAAACATAATCGCATAAGCAATAAGAATAATATACATTTTTATATTGTTTGTTTGATATTATATGCACGCCCCCCCCCAAAAAAAAATGCCCTGGTACGGTCGAGAGTGAAGAGAGTAAATTCCCCCTCTCGAAACGCTCTTACATGACCACGCGTATACAACCACTACCAGGGAAATCCTACTCACTACCTTCTCGCAGTGGTGGTGTTATCTACGACATTGAGAGGACGAAAAGAGAATGTCGAGCGTTTTAACCGGGTTGGTGGACACGGAGGATCTACCTAGGGAAGTTGGAAAACTTTCATTCCCAACCAATGGTGCACATGGACTCTAGGATCCTGAAGGAATAAATGGCGTATGAACCAACAGTTGGTCACCGGCTACTATGAGACTGAATCTCCTGACGTTGCTATTATTATGAGCAAGAATTAAGATAGTTAAGTGGAAGAATGAGTGAATGAATAATACAACCTATCAATACGGTAGATCAATCAGAAATTGTCAAATGATAAGTACATCCGATCGGTCAAGCAATGGCTTTTACTTCCAACGGGTGAGATATGAACCACTGATAAGCTTACTTTCCTAAAGGAGTACATACATAAATGGGATTCGGGTTAAACAAAAAAAACATTTTTTTCTCACCAAGTATCTTTTCCCTCGACGAAGTGTACATCAGTATTAACTTTTGAACACCGTACATTATGGCACATGTATCCACTAACCACTTATTTACTAAACTACATTTATTCATGGCTATTTTCATAATTAACATTTGTATATAATCATAGCATTTTACTAAAGAAAATAAGAATGAAGAGCGTTTTCTAAATGTGTCTAGAGTGGTATGAATTGTAACAAAACCATATAATTGGTTAGTCACTTATAAACAACGTTGAACCGGGGACATATGTGGACCTGTATGAGTTATCACACTTAAGTATCACAATGAAATGAAATCATCAAGCCAAGTCCTACTACACTATAAGTACCAACAGTATCAGTGTTCGGAGAAAAAAATCAAGAATAAAGAATATGATTCGAAAAAGGAATAATTAACTTGCGGAAGAAACGATATAAAACTGAATATCTAGAGAAATATTAACAGAAATGGAATCAGTCCATGAAAATATTGACTACTGGACTGAGCTGTACTGGTAAGTGCACACTAAATGGTTGAGGTCCGAGCGATTACCGTAACCAATTGGGTAATACTGATCACAACCATCAACAATGGTGCCGATGCATACTGTCGATACATTAACTACCATGGGATGTCCTAATAACTTCATTCAGCCGGACCAATCACCAGAGATTCACAAGCTCGTTAACCAAACTTTCGTTTTCGCCTAGCACCCTATCACTTACCTGAACATTGCTAACTCAGTGGTCCGAAAATACGTAGGAAATGGTTTGAAAACACCTATGATCAAAATCTGTAACCTATGCTTATCTTTTACTTTCACAAACCATGTCTTATAGTCAAAGAGTACAATAGAGGAAACTGTTAGATAAAATTACAATATTTTAGTTGGTAGGTGTACATATTTCCACACAAACGTATACACAAAGCTACATGGATCTCACCGGGCCACACCACAGAGAACCAGATAGATCATATTTGCATCAATAAAAAATTCCAAAGGACAATGGAAGATGTGAGAACCAGGAGAGAAGCTGACACAGCTTCAGATCACCACCTAGTTGTAGCCAGTTTAAAACTGAAGCTAAAAAAGAACTGGACAAGTGGACAAACAGCACTACAAAGGTTCAATACAGCCTTCCTTCGAGATACTGACAAACTCAATGAATTCAAGATAGCTCTCAACAACCGGTTCCAAGCCTTATAGGATCTACTGACGGAAGAAGAAACTACTATGGAGGGCAACTGGAAAGGTATCAAAGAAACATTAACTTCAACGTGTCAAGAGGTTCTGAGCCTCAAGAAGCATAATCATACTCAACGGATCTCTATAGAAACACTGAACAGAACCAAAGAAAGAAAGAACAAGAAGACAGCAATTAACAACAGCCGAACACGAGTAGATTAAGTCCGAACACAAGCTGAGTATATAGAAGCAAATAAGCAAGTGAAGAAGAGCATTATAGCCGACAAGAAGAAATACGTGGAAGAATTAGCAACGACGGTGGAAAACGCTGCAAGGGAATGAAATATGTAACAACTTTACGATACGACGAAGAAACTATCAGGGAAATATATTAAACCAGAGAGACCAGTCAAGGACAAAGAAGGCAGGCCAATCACTGAAATCCAAGAACAGCGAAGCAGATGGGTAGAATAATTTTAGGAACTCTTGAATAGATCAGATCCATTGAATCCACTAAATTGCAACGCTACGGATGACTGTCGAACAATCATTTAAGTGGAACTCGTCACTATACATCTGCTTCAACGACTACGAGAGAACGTTTATCAGTGTAGATAGAACATTATGGAAGCTTCTTCAACACTATGGAGTTCCTGAGAAGATTGTCAACATTATCCGGAACTCATACGACGAACTACAGTGCAAGGTCATGCATGGAGGACAGCTGACAGATGCATTCCAAGTAAGGACCGGAGTCAGACAAGGCTGTCTACTGTCTCCCTTCCTCTTTCTTCTGGTGGTCGACTGGATTATGAAGACCTCAACATCTGAGGGAAAACACGGCATACAATCGACAGCTCAGAACCAATTAGGCGATTTGCACTTCGCAGAAGACCTAACCCTCCTATCGCATACACACGAACAAATGCAGATAAAGACAGCCAGTGTAGCAGCAGTCTCTGCATCAGTAGGCCTCAGCATACACAAGGGGAAAACCAATGTCCTCAAATACAACACGGAGAACAGCAATCCAATAGCTCTTGATGGCGAAACTCTGGAATATGTAGAATCCTTCACATACCTGGGGAACATCATCGATGAACAAGGAGGTTCAGATGCAGACGTAAAGGCGAGGATCGGCAAAGCAAGGGCTGCATTTCTACAATTAAAGGACATATGGAACTCAAAACAACTTCAAACTAATATCAATGTCAGAATCTTCAATACCAACGTCAAGATAGTTCTACCGTACGAAGCTGAAACTGGGAGAACTACTACAACCATCATCAAACATGTGCAAGTATTTATAAATAGCTGTCTACGCAAGATACTCAACATCCATTGGCCGGATACCATCAGCAACAGCCTTCTGTGGGAGAGAACAAACCAGCTCCCAGCTGAAGAGGAAATTAGGAATAAACGATGGAAATGGATAGGACATACATTACGCTAATCATCAATCTGCATCCCGAGGCAAGCCCTGACTTGGAATGCTGAAGAAAAGCGGAAAACAGAAGACCAAAGAGCACATTAGGTCGGGAAATAGAATCAGATATAAGAAGGATGAATAACAACTGCAAAGAGCTGAAAAGGATGTCCCAGGACAGGGTTGAATGGCGGATGCTGGTGTGCGGCCTGTGCTCCTCGGTATGGAGTAACAGGTGTAAGTAAGAAAGGTGAATATCTCACATACACCACAAGTGATGCAAGTTAGTAAAAGTCAAGGGAGCATAATGAGGGGTTGCAGAGACTCCCTCAGATACTAACTCACAAGATAAACGAATTGATCAAGGCACTTAGTTTACTCGCTATGATCAGTAAAGGTGATTATGCAGAGCAATATTGAAGGAATGTTTTGTATTCAAAGAAAGGGAAACTCATCCCAAACAGGTTTGCATCAATATTACAAGTACCCAGAAAACATTGAATTATGTCAGAATTTCCAGATAACAATGAGAAAATTTCACCATAAATGAACTGACCTAACTTCCTGTTACTTGGTCGGCCACGTTTTCTTAATTGAACAGGTGATTGAACAGGCAATAATGAACCAGACTGGTTAGGATCAGTACTCGTGATAGATTTAGTTGACATATCTAAATCGGGCTGGAAAAAACATAGACTATGACCAAGTATGAAACCTTTTAATACGAAGAAAATTACAGATAAAAGCAATTTAGTGCTTTTTATTTCCAAGAATAAAAGGATATGGCTTTTCGAGAAAGTATAGTTTTTTCGCATTCACTTTTAAATTATATTCTGAATGAAAGAATTAGTGATGCTATTCAAAACCAAGTACGTAAATTGAGCTTTAAACATATGGTCTAGTGATTAAAACCGAAAGTTTTAATCACTAACCCCAGACTTTACAAAACAAGTCCAATAAAAACCTGGCAAAAAAATTAAAAACAGGAAAAAACCTATTAGTTGCTCTTATTGACTATTTGACAAACACATATGACAGTTGATTCCGGAAAATGAGATATACTGAACAAAAATCGTTTCCTTATAGTTTTTACGACAATCCTTATGGAGCACAATCCATTCTTACAAAGTGATAGTTTAGTGATTAAAACGCATTACGTTCAATCAGTATATCGCAGCCTTAAACTACACGTTACTGACTCCCGTTTGAGCAACTAGACAACGTTTAAAATCTTTATTTAACCACTAGTAGCGCAGAATCTGGCTCCGAACAGAGTGAGGAGCGGAAACAATTGAAATATGGAGTGACAAAAGGTATAAGTAATGATCTTGAACAGCGGTGAGCAGTGAAAACAATAGATGGAAAAAGTAACTCTGAAGGTTAACAATAGATACCTTTTCAAACTTATCTGAAAAAAATATCAATTAGAACAACACATACAAGCGAACAATACTGTTTTCAAATAGATCGTCATCAATTTAGTATACATCAGTATGTATATGAAAATATTAACTCAATGAAGGCAAATTATAATTCAAAGGTTACAACTAAATGGATTGCGTAAAAGTACTGATAGTAAGACAGATGCAATAGTGGTGGTCAAGGGTAATAAAATAACAGATGTTCTAGTCAACAGTTCAAAATAGGAAGTAGGTGAAAATTTGGTAAATAGACTTTAAAAAATTACAAAGCACCATTATGTATGTAAATAATTAGATATTGGAGAATATAAGCAGGAGGTAAAATAAGAGATGTACAAAGATCAAAAAAATCGTTTGTTAAGTCATATCTGACCAATGAAGGGACAGAAGTGTCACGAATTTCTTCTGAACATATAAACTAGGGTTGTATGTTTAGATCCTTTTAGCTTCTGTTATATGTAAAAGATGGGACAACCCGATTGAGAAATGACGAAGGTATACTATAGATCACTCAAAATGATCTGGTCTTGTCAAACATATGACCATTGTTAACCAGATAGACCAAGATAGAGATGTGTATTACATTTTTCTGTCCTTTTCTAAACCATGCTGACATCAAGAAGTCAAGGGTTAGTGTGACCTTCACAAAACGTATAATTCAAGGATCATAAAACAAAATAATTGGTTAGCAAGATGTATTTAAGTACTGCAAAGCCCACTAAAACAACCAGGCTATTTTGCGATTTGAAAACTTTGACAAACATGCCATTCTGATGGCCTCGGGTGAGCCACTAAGAATTGAAACGATTCCCCACGAGATTCTGCGAGAAATCGGAACCGTAATGTTAGATATTATACAAGTTATAACCAGGGATTGGTGGCTAATAGTTGGATCCACTGCTGGCCACCATCAACCTCCACTTATAATGCTTTTAATTCAAGGCAATATCAAGGCAATTCGCACAGGATACACGTGCCAATAAGAAACTGACCAATTGCAGTCCTAAACATAAATGGGAAAATTCAAACAACCAATACAAAAATGAATTATATCTTGCAGGTTACTATGGACCAAGTGAAAACTGTGAATACTCAGTTCCTAAAGTGTTTGAAATTGACGGTAAAAAATATGAAATTCAATGGATAATTAGGGGTAAATATACAGCTAGATACTTTTACTCTAACTTCTGTCTAAATTTTAAGGATGAACCAATCAGATCTAAGACAGCAGATTTTGGATTTTGACGCAAAATTGATTCATTCATTTGGTCAAATGGCACCTTAACACTACGGTTGATATTAGTTCGTTGTGGAAGTGTTATTTATAATTTCTAGCCCTAACATCTAAATTCTAATCCTAATTCCTCTCATTAATCCATAACTCTGATTTAACTCTGGTAAGTAGGTGTTTTCGAGGCCATTTTGGTGTTTCTCAAAGGTTGTTCATGAATTATAGTCTCACTAACTTTAAGTTTTGTAAGTTTGTGAACAAAAGAGTAGCAGCGCTCCACTACAATTTAGTTGATGTCAGCTCAAGGTGGAAACCATAACCCTTTTGCATAATACCTGATGTTATTTGGTGACTAACATCCTGCAGAGTTATAACCTAACTCACAACATTCGCCAACCACTGATATGTAGACTTAACCCTTTTTCCCTTACCATGAATAGTTCAACATGTAAGGATTTGTTAGTCACATAAAAACTGTTATTCCACTGTAATTTAGTTGGTATTCCTCGTTAATTTTCTGATAACTAAGTTTTTTTAATTATACAATAAGTCGCTTAAGTCGTCAGCACAGACTACTATTAATAAAAGTTTGCACATACGATTTCTCCAGCTTCATTGTCATGCAAATCATATTTACACGTCTTTTCAATAAATATATAATGTATTAAAAACCAGTTTTTAAGTTGGCAGAGATGACAGAGATGAGTTTTAGGTCAGTGGTATTCGAATCAGTGTTTATTGAGCTACCAATTTTATGCTTAACCTATATGGTGGCATACATAAAAACCGGTGGAAACTGCACAGATGTATTTATCCAGACTCATTCTAACGAGATCCGGATTCACTTATACCAGAAATTTCTGGTAGTATATTTGTATTTGGCGTTAAACAGGGAACACATATGAGAATAGTATGTAATTTTAATTCTTACATCAATGTGTTAAATCGCTAAATGCATGAAGGGTATGACAGCTTAGAAAATCAGGTCAGAATACAGGTGAATAACCGGAAATGTAATAGTCAGAACATAGACACATAATGAGCGTGGGTGTTTAAGCTACAGGTAATGAAACCGGGTTGCCAATAAGAATATTTCGTTGATGGTTTATCAAACCCTGTCTTGAGAGGTGTGAAAAGTTCTGTTGTTAACATTATCTAAGGACCCAGAGATTAGGAACGGAAAGGTAAATGTATCATATTCAAGTCGAGTTCTTTCGGATTCCTAAATAAATAAAAATAATGCCAAGAGATTTGCAGTAATGCTGAACGGTAAAATGTACATTGTTGTATCTTTTCAAGCATCAAACATTCACAAAACAATTGATGGAAATATTCAGGCCACAATGGTAGCTACTCACAATCACAGAGCGTCGTTTCAATTGAGCAAAAGCTAGAAATGAAAACGACATTGTGACACTTGGTTTTTATAGCACTTGCAGAAAAGAATAAAACCAGCCAAATACGGCATTCCATAATTTTAGTAAGTACACAAGAAACTCAGACAGAAAGTGACGCTAAAGCTAAGAAACTGATAAAATATAGAGCTCCTTAAAATCGCGACTAATTCCCCATATTTAGTCTCATCGACTTGAATAACATGGCCCATAATTTTCGTACAAGGCAATAGTCAAGAAGTGTCTGGTGACAATCGAACATCTTGAGATTGTAGGAGTTACGTCAACGATAAGGCACCTTGGACACATACATAAGTAGAAAAAACACTTCAAACTGACGTTTACGAGATGAAAATTGTAATGTTAAAAATATAATAAAGCACTATTACCACTGATTAGAAGCATTCTTACTTACACACTGTTCACGAATATATGACTGACGTCGGGTAGGACGCATTCTTAAAAATATCAAACAACGAGATACCAAGGATTACAAAAAAACCTACATCGGCGCCAACTGAAACAAGCGCAGGTCATTGGTAAAACTAACAAACAAAATTGGGTCCAATGTCTAATATTGCACGACACAAAATGAAGATAAGTTGTTTTTATTCTAGTTTTAATTCCATCATAGATGTGAAAGATTGTGCATGTGATCGGGTTTTAATTTTTTCACACACTTCAAAAAGGTAATTGTAGCGCATTTGAAAACTTGTTCTACTATTTACTAGTTGCAACTATCAGAACGCCTTAACCTCACGCTTACGAAGTCTCCTATTTTGCCGGCTGGTTACACCCGAAAGTTTAGGTACTTCTGGTTTAGTCTGCTGATTCATTAGTTTTTACTCCTAGATTCTACTCTTATAATGCCCACTAGTAATACAGTCACATGGCTCTTCCTCGAACTAAACGCAACCTTCTTCTATTCAAATTGTCCTACCATCGTTATCGTTATTATGATTATCGCATTACTGTGGTGGAGTTATTACTGATACTCATATTGACATTAAATTACGAAATTTACGAAATTATACTATTCGTTTATCAAATTATAAAATCATGAACATTACATCATCGACATGAAATATACAACTCACTAGACTTGATGACTCAGTGGATTTGTTCCACTCATCTTCAGTATCATTCCGTCTCATTTTTATTTTCTCATTCACGTGTCTGAGGTCATTTTTGTAATATTCATATCACACACATATGTTTCTTCTTAATTTTGTCTCATTATATCGTTTCGAATGTCTTTAATACCAACATGTCTTTCCACCAGGGGCGATCATCTGTAGTAGGTTCTGAATCTTCAATCACACCAATGACTATATTAAAGTAACCTAACCATTATTGTTCATTTTCGCTGCCATATAGCCATCATCAGATATTTTCAACATGCTTGCTAGCTGCTCGTTCATCCGACAACCTGCGATATTTTGTGAAAACTGGCGATCTAGCGACACATACATACAGACGAACCATCAGTCTAATCGGTTGAATGAGCATTCTGCATGCTGGTAATGTCATCGTCACAACTATCCGGGCTATGGAGCCGATAAACAACGCTATTATTAACATACGTTCCGAGTCATGCTCATGGTAGTAACGATTTTTATTCTATGTATGCAACCATTTTTCATACATAGCATTCGTATGTAGAAATTTTTGATTTCCTTTTTTCAACGACAATCTAAATCAAACTCCCCTCTTACATCTACAGCCATTTTTGCTTAATCGATGAATTCACCAATCATATTCATTAAATTTAAGACGCCGTATTACTAACCGATTAGTAACGGATGTTTTCAATTTACCTATTTGTTCACATGACTGTACTCGATAGTCTGAGGACTAGTTGAAAATTGCGTCTGAAGGATATCACTTTCTAACGAGTTTTGAACAGTAAACTCATTATACCTACCGAAATTACTTCCAATAAATATTATAATTCCGACGAAATTCTGAACTAGTCACCCCATCATCCATGAGAACATTACGAAGATCTGTAATGGCACTGGTTCCTAAACTTACGATCTATGAAAGCTCTGCATATAATAATCTGTAGAACCTTGATCAACGTCGCTATTGGTACTGCTATAGTAATAGATCTAGTCCTAAAACTGTAGATTTGTCATAATGTGAAAACCCGGTCTATATGATCTTACGTGGGAGTCACGTCATCGTCATCGCGATTCGCTGTATTGCAAGAATCAGCAATATAGTTTTTGGTGTCTCTAAAGAACACAATTGAGCTAGAAACAGAACAATATATTTAATATGAATAGAAGAAACAAGTTACACAGTAATCCACAACCCTGCAAGGATGAGCCATGTCATACGGTTTTATGGATGTTCCCCCGTCCATAATTTTTGACCTTCTTTTGGTGTTACATGCTAAAAGTCTATTTTCCCAGTTATCTCATGTTCAGCTTTGAATATTGTGTGATTAGGACCAATACCAGTACAAATCTGACAAATTTTATATGGGACTATTTTAATCAAACTTCAAATATAATAGTGATTGTAATAATAGTTACTGAACCTTATTTGATCTGCAAGAGGTGTAATGTTTAATATTTAACAAAAATGCAGTGTGTGCAGCGAGTAGATGCAGTTTACCACTCGAAGTCAACTTGTCAGGCTTTATGGCCGTTTCCGGGCTCAGCCTGGGTAAGATGATGTTTCAAAGTGTTAGTATGTTATACAATATAAAACATATTAACTCCCACAGCTAACCAATGTGTACTATGATTGTTTCACGTTTGTCTGCATTCAAGACGTAGAGCACTATGAACACGGTCGAACGTATTATATGAGAATCAGGATTACGTGGTCAATTATTCATCAAACAAATGTTACTTTCACAAAACAGAGGAACCATTTCTTTTCTAGACAGTAAGTCTGCAATTGTCACGTTCGTCTATACCTTTGTCACAAAATATATTGTCACTCTTGATTACAACATCCATTTTCGTGGACCAAAAATGCAAATTCCAATCTAGATGAAAAATTACTGAATATGTTTGAGTAGATAACACGGATTAGTTTTGTGATTACCTTTTGTTGTTGTTATCGCTTTTTTTCGAAACAACAGACTACTCTCTACAGAAAGGCTTTGTAGTGGCTGGCACTATGTCAAGCCAACATAAGTTATTTTAGCTTCTGGACCAACCGATTTATTCATTCCTCACCTGCCACACTTTGGCCTTGTTGGTAAGTCCCTTATAAACCTTGACTGTTTCTGTATGGGTGTGTGTCAGTTACTTTTCGTGTTTATCAAATGTTTGAAGCTTATTTTTGGACTAACTAAAATTATTGAGTCTTGCTTAGTTGAATCAAGCTGATCACTTCGTTTTATTTTGCTTATATTCCTACACTTTGTATCTCTTATTGTCTGTTTTGATCAGTGAGTGTGTGGTGGTATTTGTTACTAACCACACAATCTTCGAACCATAACGTAGAATTACTGAGAAGATTCACTTTCAACATATTACACTAAGAGAAGGTCAAGAATGGTGAACGAAGTATCAGGGATTCATGTTGGTGAGACTTGGCAGTGCAGACGTAGTCATAATATGTAAAAATTATTGAATCTTGTATGAAGTATATTGCTTTCTACACAGACCAAATGTGTCCTTCAGAAATATTAGAAGTTATATAGCTGATTCTTATGATACGACGAGTCAGAATAGACAATGATGTGACTACCATGCAAGATCTTCCAGATTATGCAGTCACATCATGGCAAATCTACAATTCGGCGATTAGGTCTATTGTTATAGTAACACTAATAACCAACTAGACCATAATTCTACGTGTCTGTGAAATATACGTAGTCAAAATTCATCCTCGTATTTGGTTTAGTTTATACCGTCACTTAATGGCATACAAAAATATGCACGCCCGTATAATTCGGGCGTTGCTTACTAACTGTTTGGTATAGTATATTCAGTAAGTAACTGGATTCAGAAGATAGAAATGTCAAGCTTATTAATCCAGTCATCATCTCTTAATTTATACAGCTTTTGTACTGATGAATTGTCGATGAGGTAGCTGACTGAATGAGAACATAGAGTGACATGAGTGATTGGTCAGTATATTGATAATAATCATTGTACATGGATATGAAGAGTGCGTGTACCGGAAACGTTCAAAGTCAAATTCAAACAATATCCTTGTCATCAATATAAATGATTCTATCAATAAAACTCATGGGAAATAATAATAACAAAATTGTTTACGTACTACGTCTGGGTTAATCATCTCCGAATTTTCTCTACTGTTTAAATTCCGCTTAATGACATCATGATAAAGATCATTTATTATCTTCCTCAGGACGCCAACCAAGAGAAGTGATTCAATGCGATTTTTTAAGAGAGGTAGTGACTTTTTACTCGTGAATTTACTTTGCCTTTGCGTAGTTTTTGCATAAAAAGCGTACTTGGCCAACTTTAATTTGAATTATTTCGGTTGACATTCGGAATTTTCCTCACATCATTGTTGTGGTGCTCATTTTCTAGTCGATTCTCACACCACTGGTTATCAAGTGCATTTCCATTAATTTTAACCATATTAATATATTTACAGTGATCAGCTGTGCTTATAAGTTCAGACGGTCAAAACATTTCTTAGTTGTGCAGGGAAAAGTCCAATATGATGCGTGTTAGACGTGGTTCCGAAGGATGCGCACCTGTTTAAAAATCGCTGCATACACAAGGTGTCAGAAACTCTGCTCCCATTCGTTCTGTTCGTTTCGCGGTCTGAGTATCACATTTCGGGTCTAAGATGCGAAAGATCCTCAAGAGTCGTTCAGAAAGAACGTTTTTGGGGGCTTCACAGGTAATATGAGTACTGACAGCGAAAAATGTGTCAGTTTAGTAAGTGTCGTTATGGCAGAAGTCAAACAATAAACTACGAGACTTGGAAAAAGAACAATCTTTCAAATAAAACCTGAACTACTCCTTGATGTTGATGGTCACGCCTATAAATTAGTACCCGAATGCCTAGATAATACGCTGTAGATCGCTTTATATAGCTATCCTGGTTAACGAAAAATGGACAAAAATGCAGAGACCAAGAAGAGAGAGAACACAAGCTACGAACAACCCTCGTCTTCGGTGGACTTTCATTCTCAGTCACAGGGTTCATGTCCAAAGCCCAAAAGTATGACCAAACGTGAACCTAGCGAGCTGAAAAATGTTTGATCACATAGAATGTTATCGTAATGTGTTAGTTCCAAATGACCCTGATCCAAAAATCAGACACGCTTATGATTGAGAAATGGTCGGAGAATTTATTAGTGGCATCTTATCAGATGACTCTTATTTATTTATTTATTTCAACACATAGATAATGGTACAAAGAGGCACCAAATACATATGCGCCACACAAATCTCATCCGATATGTGTGAGGGCTGTGAGACTGCCCGGGTGCCCAAACCGAAGCAGGTGGTTTTCTAAGGGGACCACACCCCGAGCCTTCGACCCAAAGGTCTGATCCACAAGGCAGTGGAGCATCGTAAGGAGATGCAGTCCCATGGAAGC